CGTTAGGCTTTAACCCTTTGCCAAGCTAAAATAATTTCTGCCATGATTTAATTAAGTAGAACAGTACAATACGTGATCATTTGATCCTCCTCCTCCTTCTTTTTGTTCATTTTCGTTACGTAAAAGAAATAACGGAGGCTGGCAGTCGTTTAGGTGACTTTGAGGTATACCTTATAGCAACGATCGCTGTTTCTATGAGACACCTTATAGTAACATTAGGTGAAGCTGCGTGATAAAGTGTACTGCCAAATGAACGATAATACGATTAGCGATTGGACCTAATTTGGAAATCAGCTCCGTTAATCTTCACTGATTTGAGTAACATTTGTGAAGATTATAGCAACTGTGCCAAGATGTCACTGGTCATGTGAGTTAAGTAAGATGCTAAACATGATGATATATTGTATAGTAAACCTTGTACTATTTTACGGTAGAATAGTTTGATTATATTTTCGAGGGCTTCGAGAGATTTAGCTAAAGGAAAGACGACATAGATATTGATGTCATAGCCTTCATCAGCCATAGCTGATGTGATTCTACGAAGCTCAGGGCTTCAACTCTTGACGAAGTGTTCTGTCGACGAGTGATGTTGTCGATCGATCTGCAATACGAGACTTGACCAATTAATGATTTACATAATTATAAGGAGAATTGTTAGGCTTTTCAGTCTCGAATTTGTTGCCCTGTTGTGTTCACCAACCATAACAGGTGGGGTCGCGCAGCTTCACTTCGTATAATAAGGGTACCATATTATCCCCCTTAGTTAAAGGCATTGTTGGAGTTAGCACTGTTAGCATACGCCGCCTGAGAGTGATAGATTATAATTGAACGTAATGCGTGCACTTAGGAAAAAATAGTGACACTCATGGGTTTAGCTTCGCGGGCCACTGTTTTGACAGATTTTTGTTATACCTCTCTGGGTCATAAACGCCGTACTTAGTTGAAACGCTTACATAAAAATGTTCGCTGTTTATCTCGACAAGGATTTCTGTTTTGATGATCGAAGGCAGTCTGTCTCTAATATTTTGCGTGCCGCAATGGGGCCAATGCCTGATCAATAACACTTTATAGGGGATCCCGCTCATGTAATACGTTTGAATCAAATGGCCAATGGACAAATGCAATGGTCTATGAAAAAAGGCGTAGCGGCTTAAAATAGGCTCATCGATACATTGTTCTAGGTAGGTTGAAGTACATACTAAATTTTAGAGTTTTTTGTTAGACAGAAAAAAACTGTCGTTAACTGATTTGAACTATAAGATCATAGAAGAAGCGTTATGCTGTATATCAGTCTCCAAATTCACTACCTGCCTTAATTGCAACCGATTTTAAAGTAGCCTAATATCTGTGATTGTATGTATATAATATAAGTGACTGGTATATCAAGGACGGATAATGATCCTAATTAAATAGTCATAACACCATTGTTATCGGTGTAATTTTGAGAAGAAGATAGAACGTCTTCAACCTAATTCTATAACCATTCGAATGGGTAGTAGGTCATATTTTTGTGTTGGGTCTACCATCAAATGATTGTTCGATTACGTCGTCGATAACCACTATGCTCAGTATTACTTTAGCTACCTGCTGCTATTACTTCAAATTACGATCCTTATACAAAATATTGCAAAGAAACAAAAAGTCAGCGTTAAACATGGTTTAACTGAGCTTGCCGTTATAGGTATTGCAGAAGCAGCTCAGGGTTTTGCTGAAGCATTGATCGAAAAATGCGTGTTTGAATCTTAGTCGAGGTGGTCGGGAATTGAACCTATACAGTTATGTACAGATTATGGTACTTTCCTGTCAAACTGCAGAATATTGATCAGAGGTGAAGAAGTAATGTTTGACTAAGGACGAATTGACAAATGAAATTAAAGTAACTATTCTAACCAGAAGGAAAAGGTCTAGCGCGTATGTAGTGAGATTAATTCTAATTAAATTTTGTTTATTTTCTGTTATTATCAATATCTATGAATGTAAAATAATGCTTTTGTCTATAAGCCGTTCTAATCCAACGATCTATTATCTAATACGTAATATGAATAAAGTGTCGTTTCGTTACGAGGTAACGGACAGTGGAGATTGCCTCATTTGTCATCGCAGCCAACGCCGTTGATAGGAAAGGTATTTCAATAATGAGACACTAGATTAGTTTCTTCGTTCGCGTTCGGGTGGGTGGATCGAGTTGACCATATCAACAAACAATAGCCAAACGTGGGCTGAGCTGACCCATGCCCGACGTCAAGTAGATGTGCGTAAATTCAAGGAGGGATAGATAGACAGATTAGTCAGAGTCTACATAGTACGTATATTTTAAATGAACGAATACAACTGCTAGATGCTGAAAATGTGTAATCTATTCTACAAAATTCTAAAATTTCTATCTATTTTCGAACACTACGCGCAAAAATATCTCTTATCATACGAGCTATTCTTTCGTACGTCACTATGGAAGTATCCGCATCTTTCCGAATTTTTCGAAAGACAGGTGAACTAATGCTAAACGTCAAAGATGATTTCTCACAGTGATTTTTGTTGATGATCCCAAAAAACCCTTCAGTATACGGATACTGTCGTACTTTTCAAGTCATTGTGTTCTGTCGTGTTTATAAAACGACTGAATTTATGCAAGTTCCTACTTCCTCCATTGTTGCAATCTGTCCCACTAAATTCAAAGGTCTAGAGGTCAGAAGTCCTTGCACATACAACCACACAGAGAAATAGAGCGCCATAGTTGTTCCACAGGGGTGCTTGAAAGCGTTGACGAACTGGTCAAGCGAACTTAAGACATAGATTCTTGGGGTCGACTTCCGTTGGTCTACATAGTTGCTGTCAGCGATGAGGGGCCTCCAACAGCCCCTTGGGTGTTGATGGATCCGAGTGTAATAAAAGTTTAAGGCAGTTTCAAAGGGGAAAACGCCGCCTCAGGGGATCTTCTTTTCTATTATCAAAAGAGCCCTTCTCTACCATACTGAACTAATAAACACCGAGCGAGCAAACGACCCCAAAAGAACATCCACCGTTCGATGGGCTGAAATCAGCCAAAAAAATTGGGCGTGCAATGTGGGGCAAATATACATAGGTTTAGGACCTATATGTGTTTCTTCAGATCGGTGGCGTACAACAGAGAGCCAAAACATTAACATGTTTCAATTTAGCACTGGTCAAAATGATTTCCCTTCTTTACCCGTGTAAGCACACACGTGCATTTATCGCACGTCGGTCGGTCGGTCGATCTGAAATTGATAAAGATTTTTAGCCCGTAGATATGGCCACGATCTACTAATGACGGTCGTGATTAATAGTATATAGTATACGCCAAAATAAATCATGTTTATATAGAGATAAACGATTGAACTCTGTGTTAATCAGTGTTCGCATATCATTGAACACGCTACGCTGATATATGAAACTAAATAGTCTCTCCTTCGATCAAGCGTAGTTTGACTTAATTGTGGTGGTATCGCTATCCATGCTGACGCATACGATGTTGTTAACTATCTTTAGATATTTCTGCCCAGTCATGGTTGAAATCTTCTAACCGGGTCTATACGCAACGTAGAGAAGATATCGCTACTAACTAGCGTAACACTGGGCCTCCCTAAACAACTTAAAGAATCGCCCTAGATTATGTCGCTCTATATATCGAGGCCACGAATAAATATAGATTGCTATCCGTTCAGTGGAGGAAGCATGTTCCATTAGCCCTTAAGAAGAAGAAGAAGTAGAACACGAGGGTAAGGCTAATAAATTTGAATATATTACGCCTGGCCGAAGAAAACTTCAAACGTTCCATATAGTCGCTTAGATCTAGGGATACTACTGCTGAACCTTACACTGGCTAGAGTGAGTGCCCGTAACGAACTTACCAGACCTAGTGTTTGCCTCCGGATCAAATTTTATTCCCATCTTCTGTCAGGAAGCTCTCGAAAACCTAGACGACCAGATTAAGGAAGTTTCGCCGTGCGTAAACTCGGGCCCCATAATATGTCATTTCTTACTTTCACTCAATAGATAACTATATATACGCAAATAATAATTTTTGTACGTCCCACGAGCTCCAGTAGTCTGTAGCATAAGAAAAAGTGTCTATATATAGTAAACTTAAGTTACGTACAATGAAGTTGGGATGAATATTACAAACTACTAAGTTTATACCGAAAAGTTATATCTCCGTATATGATCAGATAATGTACTTAGTTTTGTAGGGTCTCTATATACTGTGCAATATTTCACGTTTCAGACTTGAAAGATGTCACATCAACGATGAGCTCCGTACATAGACGCATGTTGATATGATGTTTCCGCAGCTCGTACACTAAAGCTGGATTCGCCTGTTCGGGAAATCCATCGAGGGTACCAGCCTTTAGGGCAATACTGTCTATCATCGTTAATATGCATTCATTTAGGGATCAAGCGAAACCAAAGCTACAGGGCAATGTAGCCGCAGCCGCTGGCGATGTGAAGGATGAGAACCGTAACAGCGGCGGCGACGATGACCACGATGTTAACGCTCTATTTGTTTATTCATGAGGGGTTGCATGAGCGAGGGTTCCACGGAAGAACAAAGCGAATTTCTGAGAAAAGCATGGACAAAACTCTATTATTTTCTTCTTAGAAAAATGTATAACCTTATATACTGACAATTTACGTGTCCCCCACCTATTTCTGCAAAACTTGTATCAAGTTTTATAGAAGTAAATTACTGTTTATGCCCAAAGCGTTTAGGTATCCTATTCATTGTGCGAACCTGAAGCATTGCTTTATCGCGTTAATTGGAGCAATAAAAAATGAACATTCAACAGAAACGTCTATTTTCTGCCGTGGCGTGTGCTCTAGTTGAATTTTTTATACAGGTACCTATTAAAAAAAGTTTTTCGAAAAGCACATGGAAACACAAAATTGGTAAATCATGTTGCTTACGTAATACCTGTAGATCAAATACTTTTTTGTTTATATAATTACCTAATCGAATTTATGATTCGCATTAATTATTTCAGGGTGATTGTATCACTGCCGCTTGAAACTGAGGACCTCGATCTCGCTAAATATTTCCCAAACCTCAGCGACCTGTAAGTGCAAAATATCTATTATTACACAATTTGTATAAATATATGTTTGCGCATTAATAATAATAATAATAAAATCCATTCCCTATGAGAGTAAGAGCCGGGGCGGTACGATGAGTACCCTATTCACAAACAACAATTGTGTTGAGTAAAACATAAACATGTATTCGATGTAGTTATTACGAGGGTTATTACAGTGGCCAAGATCCGATTGATTATCTATCGAGGTTTCTATATCGTTTTTCTATATCGTTCTATATCGAGTTCATAAGAGCAACAAACCAGAGAATGACAATTCTGTCCTAAGAATCACCCGTTGTCTTTCTATTATTCAATAGAGTCTACAAGTAAGATCACGCTATACTTCGAGCATGACAAAAGTCCTAAATTGTGGAATGGTCCCCAAGCTTGGACCTGAATAAAGGCACAATGAAATGTTCCTGGAAGGACCTGTTACTAGGATTCTTCGTATTAGAGCTCTCTAAATCGTCTGAAAGAGGTTCAAGACAGTATTGGTCAGAACGAGCTTTGTCAAAGGGCCAAATTACTTGTAGATTTTCCAGCGGCAGACTACTGCTACTGTTAGAACTCTAGCGAAGCTGAGCAGTTTGCTTCGTTGTTGGAGTTATGCAGCGTACGGCATACGGCTCCCACGAGACGTCAAAGCAAATTTTCTATCCCTACCTGTTTACTTGCTCCATGGCAATCAAGTGACGAGCTTAGCTGGATTGCTATTTATGGCTTGCACAACGTCTTTTTATTAATACCTTATTTTGTGCTCGACCCCTTAGATTTATACATACGCAGTCGCATGCCTAAAGTTATCTCTGCATTGTCCTGTACGCAGGCCACTGAAGACACTCCAGTGTTTATGGAAAATTGTATACGCTTGTATCAAAGTAAGACATTATATTATTATTATTATTACACGTGCCAAAAAGAGATTTTATGAAAATATTTAAATAAACGTATTCGACAAATACAGATAGTACTAAACAAACAACCCGTACAAGTTTCATATGGAGTGCAATGGGAACTAGAATTTGCAGGAATTCCTGTATATGCAATTATGCTGTAATAATGTTCCAGCTTAGAAATAGAGTTCCATCTTTCCAGAGCAAAGGTATATATAAATATATTCGATGGGAATGAAAAAACGACCTGTTTTATGCCGAAGCTACACGAAATGATCTGGTTTAGATAAAGCTAGCAGATGAAGCACTTGCGTTGAAGAAGAGAAATGTCAGCTTTATCTAGACGACGGTCGTGCGCTACGCTCGAACAATATGAGTAAATAGCTTATTTTTTGACCTTTTCTTACTCATTCAACAACGATTTTGACATTTTGTGCATTGTGCTTGCAGGCGGCTAATGAACGTAAGCCTTACGAATCTTCCAGATTTGCGCGGGCTCGGTCATCTCGTCGAGTTGTAAGTGATTTTATTTTGGTATCACGTTTATAGGAAAAGCGTTAACAGACGCCAACACACGTAGACCTTAATGTCAAAGGCAATTGCTGTGGCCTCAAAACTACGGTGCTAGCCATCAAGCAAAAGATGGCGGTTTAGGCTCGATGATATGACATATTTAAGCAACTTGTGCAGAAAAGTGACCGATTTTTTCTTATGCTAAGGTATTCTATTCTTAATTCATTAGCGGAATTAACCCAAGGTGACACTTTTGCATAATTTAAAGGCAGAGTGGCGGTAAGGCCCAATACGTTCGCTAGTCGTTCAGCTTTTTGCGGTTGGCAGATCGTCATTAAGTGGACCACCTAATTGCTTCATTGTACGGCAGCACCGAATTATTGTTTGAAGATCGGCATGTTGAACGCTCGCTTATTCGACATATGTGAAAACAATCGTTCGGACATTTAACATTGTAACATACTATTTCAGCAGTAGAGAGCATAAGAGTAATCAGCGCGCAATAAGTACTGTTGCTTTAACCTATTTTAACAATCGATACGATTGATACCTTTTAGGACTAATTAGGTAGTGTTTTTTTCCTAATCATTTTCTTTTTCTATAACTAGAGCGTTATATTGTTTTTTTTCTATTTTTATCGATGGAAAAATCGGTTATGAATGTAGACATTATTGCTTAAGATCACAATTGTTCGTTTTATAAAGAACGCGGCGAAACTGACCCGTTTTCAGAAGCAATGAAAACGGTTAGTTTACATTAGTAGACTTCTGTATGCTAGCTACCTTTATCTTGTCTCATTCTCAGCGATCGTTGTTAAGGAAAACTATTCCCACAATCAAATATCAGATTTATCCTGCCATTTATCAACGAAGACCTAAATTGCTGCAGGTACGTTTATCGGTGTTCCTTGACGAAGCTGATGCCACCTGAGGCACTGGCGTCATCCGCTGAAACCCTTCTCACCCTGTAAGCAGTCGCATTTGAGACTCACGTCTTAAGTCAACGAAGATGTTTTGTAGTGGCTGATGCACCTTGCGAGCGCAAGAGCTTGTTTTCCGCTAAAGATCAACGCTTTTTACATACGATTCATCTGTCTACCTCCATCCAAGAAACGTCTTCAGATTGGCTATGCAGTGTTGTTTTCTGTTCATCTGGTTAAGCTACATCGAACCAATTAATTGGCTAAGGCAGCGAGAGTTACCGGAAGGTGCTAAACTATTGCTTTGTTTGGCTTCTGTTAATTAATTCAGCTTGGTAATCAATACATGATACTATTGCCCGAGACAGTCATTAGGGTAGGACAACAAGGGCTGATGAAATAACCAGAAAGAACAGAATAATCTTTTGGCGTTACTTGGCCTATGAAGATGCTAAAAAAAGAAACGGAATGCCTATTACTAGCAAATATTATCATCATAAGTGAAAATAGCCTAATAGAACAGCCTACTTATGACTTCCTTAATCCATGCATATCTATTTTTCTCGACCATCAATCAGAAACTTGGAAAGCTTCTTGACGTTTTTGATCGACTTGGAGACAAGCGATTCCTGCCGAGAGTTCGTTTAAAAGATTGTGACGTAGTGGAAGTTCGCCTCGATTTTCAAAATACGTCATCGTTTTCAGTCACATAAAAAGCGCATAGACCCTACCGTTTACGATGGACACGGCCTGAACAGATGATCAGCCAATGAGCCCATAGAGAAGTGCCAAGTGGCCATCCTAGAATCTAGGTACAGCCTCCGCCGCAGCTACGAATAGGTTCACGAATGCGTATGGATGACTCTGTGCTTTCATAGTGCATGCTGCCAGTAGTAATAACAAAGTAACACTGCAACCGTTGATAAATCATTGGCTACTGCGCTAACATAGAAAACAATGATATCGACATTTTACTACAATGCAATGTGTGTATAAATGTTTCTTCTAGCTTATTTAATACTGGGCATATGATCGCATCCGTCGATGAAATTACGTCTCATTTGTTTAAAAATACGTACATCCGGTCATACATGTATGTATTTTATAAGCGTATATCACTCGGAGACATTTCTGTGTTTTGTTTGTAACGCTTTGACAGTTCGTTTCGTTGTTTACGAGTTGCTCCTTTGCCATCTGACGGTATTACACGTACATGCTAACCTTATTCCGACGGCGATTCCTTGGATATATTGGCTTTATTTTTATTGCACGAAGCAAATGGGGCCTTGGACGAAGCTGGGAGAGTACGACCAGCGCAATTTTAAAGTCCATTGTAACAAATAAATCTATTCGCTTGATTTATTATATTTGTTTCGTTATTTGATGTAATTTTCGTAGATTCGGTGCACCTACAGAACAAACTTAATAACAGGCTTAAAACTTAAACATATGTTGTATTACGCTGTCTGTATTTGTTACGCGTATCGAACAATCTATATCACGATACATTTCATAAGTATATATAACGACATCCGCATTTCGACATAGTTATTATAGGTACCCATCACTTATTTCAACACGCAATGTACTAACTATGGCTTTAGCAGTCTGATTGCCACTTTGCAATGAGCAACTTCCTTCCAGTGGATTCTGGTAGATATGTCACTTTCGATCAAACAACGTAAGGTTGTTGAGATGAATTAGATGGTTAGTTTCCAGTGTCCGTCTCCTAGTACGGAAGTAGCTAGTTTATCTAAAAGGACGCGGTTGAGGCGGATGTTCGTTTTATTACTTTAAATAGAGATCATAACGATGGCGGCCGAAGTGCTTAGCTTTAATGTAGCATCCTGCTAATCTTAAACGAGAGGGAACCGTTAGTATTAGTTAACATTGGCCGATTAAATTAGCTGAACGCTTGCTTGAAACGGAAAGGCGTGTAGTATAAATGATATCTTGAATACACATGTGGCTGATATATCTGTATCTAAAGTGTATATTTTCACAGTGTACCTAAGAATTTCAAACATGAATCCTTGGATTCGAACCTGTCACAGACTATATGCTGATACATTACGTTGTGTGCACAGCGTAATTTTAATCGATTTTAATTTTTTTCCGATAGAAATATTGCATTACTTTGTATTACCCTAAATCTAATATCCATATATAGCCCACCTAGCAGTTCTCCAAGTTTATAGATAACGTGCACGTGCCAAAGTAATTGCTTCCAATTGAAGTATCTGAGGTAGCATAGTTAAGCCTGCATTAGCAGTTTTTGATGATGACATAGCCTGTCATCAAGGAACTCTATTATCGATACTGAAAAGAAATATCTCATCATATCATAAGGTACTTTAGGATAATTTGCAGTGTCATAGCAAAGAAAGCTCAACTAAAAGATCAAACCTAGATTTTATTCAAATGTTCTCAAATGAAGTAAATTATATTGAAACGGGAAATAAGGTTAGATCGGAAATTTCGTGACAACTATAAGATCTCAGTCACGTTCTGATATCCTGTTTAAAGTAAATACCTTTCTGGGGCCCGACGTTAGATACTTCCAAATCTCTGACCAGAAAAACTTCTGGTTTGCCAGAATACAGAACACGATTCTCTGTGGCAGAACGGTTTAATGTACACCGTTGTTTATAATTTCGATAATAGCATAAGCCATAACATCTTTCTCATTCACAAAACTTTGACAGCATCTTAAGTCTTTATATAATAAGTTATGTGAACCCATTGCGTAAACGCTTAATTGACATTTCGCTAAATAACGAATGGCGGTAAAAACCAAGAAATAAAATCTCCTATAATTCATTTTTCCTCTCATTACCGTCCCAGTAATCTATATAGAGGATGGGTAAGCGTACATACATCGATGCACGAATACAATTTTCACTATTTCCTTTCGGATGAGTTTATGATCCTGCATGTCATCGAGAGGGAAACTACCGCAGTGACCCAATCCTGCGCATTTTAAAGTGGCGTAATTATGTCATTGCATTCAAGTAGAATTTGCGTAGCGGGGATCTGTGAACAAAAGTGAGACGAAACATTCGAAGGACGATACTCCGTAGCCAAGTATGCAGTACAAAGGACATATGAGGCATAACAACGAAATGGGTCCGGACCTAGCTGTCCGTTTGCTCTATTTATACTTTTGCTTGTGTAAAGTCTATGCAAGCATTTTCATAGTTACACAGTTGGGTCGATAACGTAGTTCGATTCCACGCTAGTCTTCTCAAACAGATTTAGTCCCTTCGATTGTAAATGGATATTCCTTCACTGATATGTACGTCTGCAGAAACCCTCTGTTACCACTAACTTTGTCTGAAATATCGGTGGGTGAAATGCAAACATGGCAATATTAGATAATAAGATACGTGTCTCTATTACAACTAAATATGTTCGCTAACCGGGACTAGACTATATGCATATATACAGACACAAATATATTACTTGCACTTCAGCAGTACAGAACTTTTAAATAATAAGACTTATTCCATCTCGGAATTTTCGGAGAACTGCTGAGCATAAACAGAAAAATATATAGTATTAGAAAGCAACTAAAAATGAGCGAAAAACTAGACAAGCACACATGGGGTACTCGTGATGTTAGAGAGGTAGAGGATAAGACGAGGAACTTAGTATGGCTGGCACGACAAACAACCCAACAGAAGCATCGATCGGAACGCAACTAATAAACGTTCTTAACGTCGTGAAAAAAATTTTCTTTTATTTATTTAAATGTGTCTATGCTTGGTAAGATCAATGCTGTAAAATGTAGAGTAAATACTAAATTAAAGCAAGTTCAAACATTCAATTGTGGGGCTACCATGTTATGTGGCAAATCAACTTCCTACCAAAAAAAAAACACGAAAGAACGCTTCTACTGAACATTTTACGATAATAGCAAAAGGAAAAAAAGATGAAATTTAATGAATTGTTGTCCGTCTTGTTTGTATAGCAAGCCGATTTACTCGTAATCTACATAGTAGAGCTGAAGCTTTGCTGATCCCCGTATTCTGCTAGGTAATAAAAACCCGGAACACGTTTGGAGGTGTACACGAACGTTAGAGGCAATAGTGTCCTTTGATATGCTCCACACAACTGTTATGCTACCAGGCCTGCAAAAAGTTTTCCCAATGTACACACCTAAAGATATTCAGCCCGTAGCTTAGATGACTTTGGCAACTGAGAATAGTCAATGTGGGCTGGCACCCATGGAATTTTGACATTCACCGTCATGTCTAGTTCGAAATAAAAAAAAACTAATCGAAAAAGAGCCTGGTAATTGCGTTAAATCATAAGGTTATTGGGTTGTGTTGTTAGGAGCAAGTTGGGTAAAAGCAAAGTAGTGCGTTGGATATGAGTAAAAACGCCACAAAAGGCCCCCCACAGCAATCTTGTGTATGAGTGAGACTTGTGTGATACATCCCAAGCATAAATAATGGATTGAATAGACGTATGTTTGCCGAAAAAGGGTGGAGGAATTCGAAGGTGGAAAGGGGATAAAAGATTACCGCTGCATCATCCCAGGGACAGGGAATATCTAAAAGAATGGAAAATGGCCTTATGGAGTTGCAACGGACTTAATGGCATTTTTGATAGATGATAGGTAGTACGCTACACACGTGATCTCCAAAGACGATATGAGGGATGAAACCATGACTAAGGACACCAAAAAGATTACCTGTGTAAACACAGTACACACTAAAGGGTCAATAGCTGTAAACAAATGAACCTTCCATCACATCTGCTTCTTCTATCTAAATATATTTTCCAATCCAAGGAACGTGTGCAGTCAATGCGAAAAGTAATAGGACCGACCGCACCATAATATCAGCGAACGTAAATGCGTTAAACATAGATCACAGTCATCTATCGTGGTAACACGTTGAATGACGATTAACCGCTCAGAGTTGAAAACAGATACACAAAAGCAGTATATATATATATATGAAAATCTCACTGAGAACTTTTCACGGGATAATCCGGTAAAATGGGTGAAAATTACGCATGCCTGAAAAGAAGAGAGACTTACGAAGTATGTGAATATTAGAACTGGCAACTTGCGCATTGGTAAAGAATGAAAAAAGTGGTGGGCATTTACATAGGTCTTTACATGAAAAAGTACATACTGGAAGATGTATTAGACGCCCAAAATTGTAACCCAGGACCATGAATTGTGATAATCGCTAGTACCTGTCTCAATAAAGGACGTGTCGAGGAGCTAATTCTCACCGTGATATGTAAATTTTAGATTTTAGGAAGAGGACGCTGTCAAATGGTAAAGCCGAAACGGGCGCTTTTTAGAAGACGAAGCGACCTTAGAAGTTGTAGTAGATCCCTGTGCTTAATACTAATTGAGGTAAGGCTTCCTTTATGGGATCTGCAGGTTCGTTTTTAAATTCCTGTTGACGTCTCTATATATAAATAGCCCGACTCAGCTTTGTCATCGGCTAGTGAGAGCAAGCACTCTAAAGCCATTTGTTCTGGATTTACATAGCCATAAATGTATATCAATCTACCTAAAGACATTCATCTATTTAATCTATTATAATTGGGCCACGCTTATTCGATGCATTTTCTTCATCCCTTAGCCGAGATCGTCTAGCGCGAGCGGGCCCTACATCACGCTACACTGTACAAACCTCCTCCTAATCCCCTTGTGCGCGTGTCGGACAGGATTCCAGTGTTCCCAAAGCCGGCTAATGAATCTTATGACTTCCGGCTTTTAACGAGCCCGGGACGAACCCACGTAACAAGACTTGCCGTCATCTTAATGTATATCTTGTTGTCGCGCTAGTACTCCTAGTGAGCTCGCCTCTTTTCTCTGCCTTATGAAGTTTATGAAACGAATTGACATAAACACAAGGTTTTTTTAAAAAAAAAAAGAAAAAAGATAACTTTCTTCATTAACAGAGGAAGTGTAGTATGTGTCGTTGCCGAGATTTAAAGCGGCCCCTTGCCTCTTTCAGCCATAGGCTTGACATCCAGCTTACCACGTCGGTACTGGATATAGCAACAAATGGTTTTTGGGAAGTGTGAGCTCGACAGAGCCCGTCGTGCCTGACCGAAAATAAAGCTTCAAACGGCACTCGGCAATTTACTGTTATATCGGTACCACGCGACCTCGTGGCAGCGTTGTCGAATGAAAGCAATTGTACGCAGCCTGGTGGCAGTCGTCCAACGTTTAGATGGAGCGGGTGCCTCGGATGTTACAGTATCGAGCCCAAACAAACGAATATGCAGGGACTCAGGACGCAGCCCATAAGGGCCGCGCTGTTGTGGTACCACCATCAGCAAAGACGGGCAGCGAATATCAGTCTTATCTTACATCTTAACAAGGTTTGGCTCTCGAGAAGGTTGGAAAAAAGTTAGGTGATCACATGGGCATGCGTTGTCACTTCAGAGCGCCAGGATTTTGTTGAGCCGAATTGTTGGTATTTAAGGCCATCTAAAAAGCCCTTAAGGCCATTCATGAGTCGAAGGTACAATTTTATATGGGAAGTCGTCCAGCCTCGAACTCGGCGACACGAAAACTCGAACATCTACGATATTTGCTACCAAACAGAATATACCAACCAACATAGCCTCTTCTCAACATCTATGAAAGTAGGTGGTAAAAAACAAACTCGAAAATTCTATTGAACACAAGCTCTTAGGATTACAAAAAGCAAAGCTGTTTAGCCAGATGGTGTCTGAAATGCAAAGGCATCGTCCTGTTAAAAGTCGTGGCGGTTTTTTTTAGAAAATCCACTTAAACTGCGTTGCCCTCAATGATCTGACCCACGAAGTCATTTCCGAATGGAGACAGCGATGTATACCAGCAGCAGACATGGAAAGACGGTGGCCAGGGGATGGGGCCATTCCACATGGTCGCGTTCGCCGGATGCGGTGATACTGATGTAAATGCTTGATATCAAAGACGATTTTTGGCTGCTTAACGCTTTGCGTAAAGCTACGTCCTGTCCGATATGTTGCGATATATACGGCGAACGGCGCAGTCGTCGGCATCTAATAGAATTATATATATATATATATAGTTCTATATGTAGTTCGTATTTACACAAGCACATATATGCTTTCTGCTAATGTGCGAGCTATAATAATGATAAATATATTAAGGAATTACCTACCTAAGGATGGGTGTGTTCGCTTGCATATGCTTTAGGCATGCTTAGGTTTGAGTGCTAACCATTTCTAGAAGCATTAGACATCGCTTGGAACGTTCCGTCAGTATCAATAACGATAAAATGATTCGAGGAAACTATGTACAAATTGCATCATGTAACCTATATTAGGCCTATATCTTTATTAATCTGACAAATTATAGTATGCATGTTGTACATCTGAACATATCCTGCGGGGCTTTTGCTTTACCTATAAAACCATATATAACGAATTTCTGACTACAAGAATGCTTGGCTGATACGATCAGAAACAAAGAGAAGAGCAATTTCGAAATTTAATCAATATACTATACACAATAGCATTAGCGGCCAATTGAAACCATAGACTTTGTCAGATTAAAGTAAAATTAGGAAGCTCAATATACTAGGCAAGTTTATCGCCAAATAAACCCAAGACAAATATCTCATATGGCTTGCAGGTCTTTTGCGGATAATTTAATCGGTGAGGTGACCGAGCTCGCGTTGGATCAACTTTATAAACTTGAGAATCTCGTCCTCAAACGAAACCGGATCTCGACTATACATGAACGCGCGTTCGAAACGCTTGCATCACTTAAATTCTTGTAAGTAACTTCTGTAATGAGTCACAGTTCATGCACAAATCTGACATATGTGACTGTTTAAGCACAGACGAACATACATTCGCGAAGGATGTAAAAAATACTATACCAAAAAAAGCCCACTTTTTGTATAATTTGCAGTTAGTGATTTTTTACTCGACATTTACTATTTGATCGCTCGGAGTATCGAATTCTTCGCAAAATATTTCCTTTATCGGAAGAAATACGCGTTCGTTGAAGACAACAATTTCCTTTTTTTATAGATGAGCGTTAATGTAAAGGCAGGGTGAGTATAATCGGCCTATTAGTGTGCATGTATGATGGCTTTGAAACTCTGCATGACACGTTTGTGTTTTTGGTTTCCGTTCCAGAGATCTCAGTCACAACTTCCTTACAGCGGTGCCGAACGCGTTACTACCGCTCAAGCAGATTCGGGAGATGTACGTATATCAAAACTAGGACCGACATTTATTCAGCATAATAGTATGCCTCTATTTTACCATCTGCTTTTAATACGATACTTTTCCAATGCAGGCAACCATTCGTAACCGACGTATCCTTGGTCTGTCAACACGTTGTGGTATCTAGAGGGCAGGCGGTTAAGGCAAGCAACTCTATTATTCTTTGCCACCGCAGACTCGAGACATGGGCATTTCGTTCACTTCCTCATAGCCTCCCTACTACCCCAAATGGACTTGTCATTTTCGCCTTCGTTGCCGGTCAAGTTTACCTCCTAAGGGTGGGCGAAAATCCAATTTGCTAAAAGGCTCATGGTAGAAAAGCGTGGTCTTTGCTCGAAATGCTGTATCGCGCGTTGTTCTTCTCGCTGCCCCAAGTGTCGTTGCTGTTTCAGTGGTTGGTCAGATAGCCCTTGTTATGATTTGGTTGGGGGCCAGGTCCCAGATGTCAGCCTAAGCCCAAAAATTCAACAAGTGTTATTGGCTTGCACGCATTATGATTGTTTTATATATTTATATCTTATATATCTCTGCCCTCTTATTCGCTTTAGCGGCAAAGCGTACAGGGCGAAGGCTATATCCTCAAAAGGCTAATTTCCTCCTGACCACTCTCCCGTTAAATCCAATAGAGACTTTTAATATTGTTATCGTTGTTACCGATGTTGGTTGTGCTGCTATGGGGAAATGGGATGGACGAACACGGACGAGGGGGAACTTTTGTGTGTCTGCGGATTTACGATGAACCCCTCTACGCTACGTCCAGCGCGGTTTAGTGTCACATTATGCTCGCAGCCATTATTCGTACTAGTGGCGGCAACGGTACATCAGCGTTTTCCTGTTCGGTGCGTGACTCAAGTGATGAACTGCCAAGGAGGGTTGGTTAAAGGCCGGGAAGTGTATGTATATAAGTATCGCGTACCTGACTCCAACGAGGCCAAATGATACGTGCCTGCAGAGGAAGCCTGAAATGATCACATCGAATGATTTCGATATGATGTAGAGTAACAAGAATATGTTTTGCAGTCGCACAAATGTCGCTAGCCTAAATTCCGAACAAATACTGACGAGGGAAATGAAATCTAGCAATCAGGATTATAACGTAGTTAAGTACAGCATACAGCATGTACATGCAGATCTATTTCTTATGGTTAGTCGAAAATGTAAGATTACGATTGTCTTTAGGTAATTCTAATAATAATAACAATAACCTGTAATAGGTACATTTTTGACGTTTTCGACACAGTATCTTATCGTAGCGTCGGGCTGAATAGTAGCGAGTTCATTCTCATACAATGTACATACAAATTGTAAGCGCTCTCCTTTATCCCTATTCAGCATCACAACCCATAAAGGCTAATGAACCCAGGTCGAACTGAACCGCCCAAATAGCACAGGATCCTGTTGAAAGATTATTAAAAAATGTTAACGGCCCCCATAAGCCAGTGCAGGATATGCACTTAGAGGGTTTATGTTGTAGATCTCAATTAGGATCGTAATGATAATACTGAAATAATGCCTGGGATACAAGTGCGAACCTTTCTCGACAATCTCCTCTTCTTCACTCCACTTACATTTAATGATCACGGCTTGGCCTTCATTCACTGTAGTTTTTCGTGTATCCTACTCATAGGCTCAGGGAGGTGGTTGAAATAGCATAACGTTCAGTTATCGAGGGGTCACTATCCTAAATGTTCGTATGCTGATTGGCCTGCTTTCAGCCTACTTTCGGATAACGAGATATCATACATTGGCGAGCGAGCATTTGCCTCATTCGGTCAACTTAACATGCTGGAACTCGCTAATAACCCGCTACATTCGTTTCATCACAACGCATTTGCTGGAGCAGCGAAGCTTAAGCGACTGTAAGTGATTTCAGTTATTTCCAATTGAGCTGAATAAGCTTTTAGAGACATTTGCAAAACCGGCAATTTAATTAAAATAACGTAACAATGTAAAAGCTCGTCCATATGTACTTCGTAATAATTAATTATAGGAACAAACGGCCTGCGTAGCCACAATATAAGGTTGATGATTCGTCATGAGGTGTTGTTACAGAGGTATGGCTGTTGACAGGAGCACGCTAACAGGCGGTATATCGGTTTCATTACAGGGAGAAATCGAGTGAACTTTTGCGCAAGATTTTTTTATTATTAGTATTCTTCTGTTGTTATATAGTCCGGCAATCGAATATCAAGACTGTCAGTAGACATTAAGAAACCTGCTTTTTTTTTTTTTTTTTAGTTTCATTCAATTTATTCAAAGAGCTACTTATGAGAGCTTATACTTTAGAGACCCATTTCCGTACCATTTTCTACGATTCATTCCGTGAACGTTTTTTACACGTTTTTCTTTTAAAGATTGAAATATCTCAGCTTTTGTAGCGTAGAAGACAATGCAAAAATGATAACTAATGATAATGAGCTATAACGCACCTCAGTATCTAGCTTGGATGCTTTATGTGAATGAATGGAAAAGAATCATCCCGCGTTTATGTTAAGTAATTCAATATTTATACTCTAAGCTGTCTCCAGTTTTGTTACGGTTCATAACAAAAAAAAAAAAAAAGGCAGGAGTCAGTGTCAAACAATATATTCATTAAAACTAGTCAATTTTTAACATAGATATTCATATGCTTCTTCTGCATAAAATGAACCTCGGTATTAATTGTCCCGGACTGCCAACTTTTTATTAACGTTTTCTTATACGCTGTTTAAGTAGACTTTTAAGTAAGAAAAGTTCTAAGAGAAATGTACCAGAATGTTACAGCTCAATCAGCCGCTCTCCTGGAACTATTTAGATAGCTTTCACCCTTTATATCCTGGGTTTGTACCGAGTGAAGCTGTTTGTTTGTACATATTGTATCTTTGGACAAATCTTATGCGCGAACAGCACATAGAGAGGCTTTGAAAAATGTTTAGGCAACTAGCCAAGTGCCTATAACTCTCTTGAAGGCCAAGAAAACACTTCTTAGTGGTGCGTTGCCTTTGTCCAAAAATTAAAGTGGCATAATCGAACTTCGATGTCTGTACTTGACAAATTCAAACAGGATGATCAGGTTCAGTATTAGAAAAAGCCAATTAATTAATTATTTCGAAGTTAAGCAAATGGGTGCGGCTGTCGAGGTGCTAACAATGAAAAAAAAGCAGGTATCTTCGCTACGGCATCACATCCATATCTGTGAACTCGTAACCTGTTACGCCATTCACTTAAACGCCTGACCCGACTCATTATCACAAGTAAATAGAGATCGCTAGAAATACGATGCCTAAATACATTTTCCATTGCGGGGACCATTTGAGACTGCTGTCGACTGAATACGCAAAATAGGATAATGATCCATTGATAATCAAAGAGAAAACATTACTAGAATCATGTTTTATATCTTCGGATGGCGTAGAGACATTACCCCGGTGCAATTTTGGCTAGCTCGTTTGCAGAGCGGGATCGCTTCATCGGTGACGCGCTCTATGCACCGCATCAGCCCATTTCTGATATGGGTTCAGTCGATGCTGAGAGATGAAGGGATTTTCCGTAGAAAAATTTCGTTGCTTTTTTAATCCATTTGGTGCGATAGTGGCGTCACAACAGTGCGCAAAAGGTGCCGATTCTCACGCATAAAGCAACATCTGCATGCGAGCAGCGACGGTCATAACTAAACATAACAAACACGGCAGAACACTGAAGTAAGCCCACTATGACACACGTCTAGTTGAATTGACAGAGGATGGGGGGCCAGCCCGTGAGCTAAAAACCCGTATACGGAATTTCGAGGTTTTCAGTTCCCATTTAACTGAGGACATGCGAGTTAACGTGTTTAGATCTACATATTTAGCCATATTAGGCAATAATAATAGAAAAAAAATCTAGCAGCTCATATATCACTTGATTCATAATTATTTGAAGCTCTATAGGGCTCTCTAAAAATTGGTCTTCAAAAATACGATCGTTATGGTAAAATTTTTTGTCAAGAAGAGGTTCAACGTTATATTATACGTGTGCAGCGATCCACATAGAAAAAAGTCGACATCGAAGGCAAAAGGCCATCCAGTATTTGATAGTCGTTATGGCTATCCCGTATAATTTAGTGTCGATAAATGTTCACCCCTGAAGTCCATCTGACGACGTAGAGGGGGTTTATTCGGGGGGTATTTTCGCGAACAGTATGATCGAAAAGTATAACACAATGGCTAAATGATTACCTCTCTGATAACCTCTCGAATATTACACAATGTTCTACTGGCTAAAGGCTAATATAGGTTAGTGTTACTGACGGAAGGTTTTCCAACTCTAGCTGTGGATTCAGGCTGCAGGTTTGACAATCATTACTTGGCTGTTTTACCTGAAAATTGAGCATTCATTTACTCAAGAACAGGTTTGATTTGTCGTGTTAAGTGTCGGTCTGGCTTTCTCAGCCCAGAAACTTTATAGCTTAAGTTACTGCCACACAACAATATATCGACAGCGAAGCAGTTAGAACGTATTTACGGTTATGGGTATTACGTTCGTCTAGGTAAAAGCAATAATAGATTGAAACTCCAGCATTTAGTAAATCAAAATATGATACTACAGAATGACGAAGCTATAAACGAAAGACGTCCTAGAGACAGATGGCATTGTACAGAGAGATATAGTTTCGTTTCTATTGATGCCACTAAGCAGGGTTCTTTTTACGGAAATGCTTCCGCCCCTGTGTTGTTCCACTTCCATGTTAAATATTATAATGGTATTCGTGATGGACAATAACAAATAGCCAAATAGATCACAATTCTTGGATGTTCCAGGCCTCATCTTCTGACGGACAGTAATAGTCTCGTCCTTACGTAATGGCCTCCTGGCAAAGTCAGTTGAGAGGATTATTCATATGAATGTTTACTAAAAACATGTTTCATAATAATAGGCATAAATATAATACCTAGAGCTAGGCTAGATTGAAAGTTGAGAGCAGTAGTAATTATCTAGTTCAGATAAGAGTTCGTTCTTGGTATATCGTCTCTATGCTAGATAAGTGATAATCCGTTCAAGGTTCTTAATATGCTAGAAAAAAAAACATATTTAAGCAAAAATTAACGTATTTTTTTGGGATAACTTGTTGAACATCTGCATCCTCGTATTGGTGCAGTATTTGTTTGAAAAAACAACACATATACCAATATGGCACTTGCACGATGCACGATTACATGAACTATTTATCAATTGTCGAAGAGCTAGCGTGCGCCGATTCATTCAGAGATTGTTCAGTTTTATCATACCACGTCGCTACGGCCATATATATATATATATATATATATATATATATATATATATATATATATATATACATATATCTTACGTCTAATAAATTCACCGAACGGATGTTATTTACAGAAAAACACATACGTCAAAGCTACTCTTGTGAAAGCTATATTAAAGAAAATATTCATATATAAGTGTTAAAATAGGCGAAACTGGGACGTTTTCCAAAGCTCGAGAATACAGGCCGTTTGCAAAAATAGCCAAAAATGTTAGTATATATTTTTTCGCTAGGAACTTCTTGGAAGCATATCATTGCCATTTCCCAGAACATCAGCTAGATATCTATAAGGCTTCCAATTGATGCAGGTCCGCTAACGTGCATGTATGAGTTCCGGCAAACTTTTTCTTGCTAGCAAAGGTACTAAGCGCAATGCTACTTTGTTCAAGATCGGGCCATACCTCCGTACATCACTATATGCATAACTAAGTTCATGTGGACCTCTTCCATTACAGGATGCTGAAACAGGTTATCAACCTGGAACTGTTTCCTAACTTGACGGGATCCCACGCCCTCGAGCAGTTGCGGCTGAGTCGAGCAAAAATTCATCAGCTGCCGCATAATATCTGCCAGCTTCTACCAAAGCTCAAGATCCTGTAAGCATTGCCAATGAGAACATACATATCTATAGAACAGTTCGGACGTACTAAAAAAAAAGGATTATGAATAGCTGAAAATGCTTCCTGGGGTCGATGAGTTACGAGTTTTAGCTGCAAAGTTTGGCTGTATTCATGGATCGTAGCGCGTCCTATCGACTAGTCACAACCTTCAACCACGTCAGATCACTGATGAGTTATGAAAGAGTTTTAATCAGCCAAGTAGGTTCTAGTTAAGGATTAGTCTGACAGATAGAAAATTGACATCTAGATGCGCCCTAAAAGGTTCACATCTAAGCTGTAAAACAGCTAGGTCTGTTTGGATATTGATCCACCTGGTCTCTTTCTCTTCATATATATATTCAGCAAGACATGCGACATAATGAATTACAACCCTCTAGAATTTTTACAAGCATAATAGTTTTTAGTTTCAAGCAAAAACTTATTTATTTATAGACCCTAACCTAAGGTGTAAGAGCCTAGAGAACTTTGAGAGGCAATTTCAGCGTTGTGTCAAGATTTAACCAGTTCTCTCCATTAAGGAAGGACTTTGAGAAAAGAGTAATCTGTGGAAGTAATATTTGGTGAGTATGATAAATGATAGAAATTCTCCAACTTTTTGCCACTTTAGTTTTTTGCAGCGTGAGGCGGAATCTCTTCTTGCAGTTTCTTTCAATAATATTCGGTGTTGCGCCTTGTCTATTCCAATTGGTCGGTGTACGTCAGCCGTAATAGATGAGCCAGTGCTTTACCAGGCCCCAAATAGACACAACAACTATCGCAGCTATACGTTTCATTATGATGATCATGCGATTCCCGTTTGACCATTTTTTTTACCTTATTATTATTATTACTTAATTTACTCACTTAGCGAAAGTGAACTAGTTAGTCTATTTTACATGCACTAAACCTGAATCCAAATGCATGTAAATGGGGAGGGCTTCAGTTACTGATCTAAAGAGTTCATTGACGATTTTCATATGAGAGATTATTTTTTGGCCTCGAAGCATTCCTACGAAAATGTGCCAAACTAACCTCTCCACTGCTTCCGGTAGGTAATTCTCCATCGTATGCAAGGGTTACACGGTCTGTCTCTGCCGTTGTGCTTTCAAGATGGAACTTACATTCGTAAATCGTTCGAATTTCTTAAGCTTCGATGCCTGTTGCAGTTCGCTAAAAAAACCTGAGTGACTCTATTGAAGTCAAGGGCCTCAAATTCTCGAGGATACAAATGCGTTTCAGAAGGAGAATAAAAAATATTGCGAGATGTCGCAACTTAGAACCATCTTTAAATTCCAATATGGCTGATATATAGATAGGAATATTCAAAGAGTCACTGTATATACTTTGTGTGTCCAAAGCACGCTGAAAATAAATTTGCCGAGATGTCCACGAGATCCAGTGCAATATGTGAGCTTCGTGCTAACAATTGGTGCTACACTATAGACGACGCTGTTTCTATTTTTAGGCCATTAATTGCGAGCGTGCAAATTTATTGAAGTAGATATCTATCAGGAAGTCTCGAGTCTCTAGATACCCTAGGCCTAGACATCTAAAATTGTCCAAACATTTATTCGTAGCCAGTGGATAAAGGAATTATCAGTCGAACGCTTTTTCTACATATACATTGCAATGGCATGTAAATCTGTCTAACTTTTTTTGCAAATATTTAAACGTAGGTCTCTCATATTCGAACTTACAGTCTTATTATTATTATTTTTATTACTAGATGAACAAATTGATTGAAGATCCAACGAATTAAGTACAACTGTCCTTGATCCGGCTTCAGTGTATCAGTATACCAGGTATAATGGAGCACTATTTCTATTCTGCAAATTTAATCGAGCACAAGACCGGCGCCGTTTTACCGTACAACATCGACCAGTACACACCAGCCAATGTAATCCGGTACTCGCCAAAATCTACCTAGATTAAAACAAGCCGAGTGGCAATTTTCTCCAGTACGACATATATATGAAGCCACTAATGTATGTACTTCATTTCTTGTTTTGATTTCAGATACCTGATGTCTAACAATCTAAATACAATACCTAATCTGGACGGTTGTCGAGAACTGCTCATTTTGTAAGTACTCCGAGTTAAATTTTCTAACAAACAGTGATGTTGATCTTAAACGAAGAGAGATAGATTCAACGCAAACGTACGTATAGAGAAGCAAAAACGCTTAACGAAATCAGAAGTAGTTGAGACAGCAAAACGTAACACCCAGAACTTAATCCCATGGGCGTTTAACACCTTTGCTAATCTTTGCAATATAGCAGATGTGCTTTCTTCCGCCTTTCCGTGACAATTCGATAAAACCTTGAAGCGGTTGTTTTACAAGCGTTAAAAAACATTGTCTGACTCTCACTGTCTGACAGACGGGGTAAAATATATATATAGTCGCGCGCTTGGCGGGTGAAAGTATTCGGCGGACGAAAGCGCGCTCGAGACAGCATTTGCAGACTACAGACGTGATGTTTGAGAGCCAAAAGATGGTGATCTATGCCAAGCTGGCCAAGATGAAGCCAGAGGAGACTCTGGCGGATGTCTAAAGTTATTCTGACGTGCAGTATTACGATAAACGAATAGCCAGAGTACATGCTCAGGTGATTATCAATAGCCCGTTTAGACGCGCATCCTGATTCACTCAAGATAACCTGTGCCGTAGACATTTGTGTATGAATTAAAAAAAAAAAAAAAAAAAACTGTTTTTTAGACATATCTTTCTGCTGCTCCACTGTTTGATGCCTACGTATCGACGATTGCGCTCTACCTAGTTTTTTTTTTACCTACCATATTATGGAGTAAGCTCAGTAAGTGATCAAAGATCAAAAAAGTGTGGCTATTGATGGAGGCTTCGAAAAAAGCAGGACGCAGCACCAACAGAGAAGAAGGGATCTAGACATGGCACGCACAGGAACGTACCGCTGGAGAGCACCATGACTTGCCAATACCGCACAGCTTTTTCTGACACGCCTACTGCTATAACGGTCTGTGGCGAAGTGTCTGTCAAACGGCAGCTATCGGCTGAGAGGTTCTATTTGATTGGAGCATGCTGCCTCGACATCATACGGGAAAGCCCAATATTGGACAGCGTATGATCGAGTGGAACTGCACCGCCCAAATGACGATCATACGAGACTAAGACTCAAGTCAACACTAGGCGCTTCCACCCTTTCGAAGCTAACCACGAGTGTACTAGTCAGGCACTAAGCTAATTCGTTATACAGCTAAGCGCGTCATAGGTTTCATCGTTCGCCGATCGCGTCCTTGCCTGAACTATCACTAGTACTGGAAGGAATGCTAACTAGGCCATGGAGGATGAACGCATCGTGAGAGGACTAACCATCTCGTATATGGTCGGTGCCACATCTATGTATGGATGGTTGTCTAGCCCCAAACGCCTTGAGGAGGCTTGACGAAGAAGGGAAATACAACAGAGAATACGGGCAAAGAACGAACGCCGGCGACCGCTTTTACTGCCTGTTACAATCGCAGTGATGCCCGAGCGATTAATGTGTAGCAGGTTTTGTTGGCACCCCAGCGATACTTGAAACGCATTCTTTTCGGTAGCTGGCGTTCTACGGGCTTCACAAGATATTCCCCGTTACCCAGCTGTGTGCACCACCGGACAACCCACAAAACCCATCCGTACCGTCAGCCGTCCGTACGGAACTTAATGGGAGACATGCACACTGTAGTAACAAGTCTCCGTACAAGACGGTCCCCTGCCTACCTGTTCTGGTTCGCATACTGCGGTGCAGTTCCCTTGCACTAGGCCTAGCCAACTGAATTGAAAGATGGTATTAGATGCTAGAAGCTATCCTCGCACACTCTTTTGTTAGTCCGATCTCCTCAAACACCCCCAAACACTGCTTGGAACGCTTCTTACGGCTTTCTTTCCGTTGCTTTCTTTTAGAAGTCGAAGTCCGGGGTCGGACGGGCCGTCTAATGTCGAATGCTTTGTGTTGCAACTTTCGCTAGGAGCGCGATAGGCCAAAAATGCTGTCTATCATTTTCTTTCAATTTTTCTTAGATCGTTTCCGATATAGGGCGGGGATGCGTCGCCCACTGAGACACAGCTGACTGATCATCATTAGTGGCAAGCCGCGATGGCTGTTTCCTTTCAACAAAGCGACGAATTACAACTCTCGTTGTAGCTTTGGATGAAAGCAGAGCCTGGGCGATCGGCGTAACACACGCGTAGCTTTTTCCTGTCGACCTCGTTATTGGTGCTCCTTCTTCCGGTGCGCAAAAATTATCTTGGGCATCTAGCCTGTGCCGGTTGGTGTCACAGGCAATTCAAGTTGACTCAACGAGAACGGGGACGAAGAGTTCCCAGGGACAGGTCACTAACCGCGTCAGTCGCTGGGCAGTCTTTCATTCCCGTCAACGAGATCAACATACAGCTTCTGTGTACATTTACCAGCATAAATACACATGGTACCTAAATCTATGGATCCGCACAGATAATTATTTACAGCCAGTGCAAACATATAAATATAATAAGTGGGTGAGAAGTAGGTTTGTGTACAATGGTGTGGGTCTATGTGAAGTATCCGTTTGGTAAAGAAAACCTTTCGATGACTTCGATGCATAGATACGACAATAAACATGATCACGGAGTAGCAGAGTAGGCTAGTGCAAGAGTTCGTAGCAGAACGGGGACAGAAAGGCATTAAGTGAATGATTAACTCCAGTTTTTAGCTATGGCAATCATCATAGATAAGCGGGGGTGCCAACCCATATTGAGTATGGTGCGCCATGGATCTCCTGGAAATACCAGCGGCCATTTGCTATTGCTATGATCCCCTGTATTGCTTGTTCAATACGTTCCAGACGTTTTATTGTCAGATCGCTTTGGCTACATAGCGACGTTTGTATCAGAATCAGATAATTCTCAGTCATTTTTGTACCTTTGCAGTCTTGCAGAGAGCGTTCTATCACATATGAACTATAGAAGTTGGCCGTTTAGACATATGCAAGCATACTTGTATCACATTAGTCTTGTTCTGAAAAAGGTAACCATGCGTTTCAAAAGAATAGGTACGATTTAAGATTGCTCGTACGTTTACAATAACGTGAGAATGGTTCTTTGTTATCGATGTTTTTTCGTTTTATTCGATTGAATGAACTATTGAGGATTATTGAGTTGCCAAGGTCAGATTGACCTAGCGGCTATCATTTTCCATTTTAGTCCAAATTCAACCTTCCAAAGTATTGCTTCAATGAACGAACTCACTAGCTAGCTCATCCACCTTCACATATTTTAGTCTAAACAAATAGGAATGATTGCCGAAGGCTCTGTAACAAAGTAACGGCAATACTCTTAGCAGACTTAGAATAAGCTTGTATCGATAACGTCATTGTGTTATATTTCATGTAACTTCGCGATCAGAGATCTGACATACAACAAGATTGACCTGATACCGCCAGGATCCTTCTCCACCCTTGAGAATCTTCGAGACCTCAATCTCGGCAATAACCTGATCTCCGAAATAGAGCGCGATGCTTTTATTGGACTACGAAGGCTGCAAGTTTTGTGAGTATCGCAAAGTCGCTAACAGTACAAATAATCAAATTAATTTATTATGACATATATTGGACATTATGAAAAGGGCTGGCCTGGTGATAGGCTATGTATGTAGTCGCTATGATCAATACAGCCACGTTAACTTCACTCTAATGAATAAACCGGGCACGCATTTCGAATTAAGTTATGCGTTAACTACGGGTTTTCTCGTCTTACGTCAAGTCGAGTCGAGCTTTCTAAAACTGTATTTTAATACGCCGCGTTCGTAGCTTTTGATGTGACCCGCCTCTGCGAGGTGTATCTTTAGCGCCGTATGTTAACATAGTAGGAAGAGCTGAGGAATCCGTTTGAAAAGATCTAGTGTCCTCTACTTCTTCAATCCTTTAAGCTAATTTTATTCCACAGATTACCTTAACGAGTTTCCCTTGATTAGTAATTTGCCTTTACTAAGAAGTAAACAAACGTGACTTCGCCTATTTTCCTATAATACCCATTTAGAGGAAAGGAACCAGTGGCCGTGATACGAAACGTTAATTCGAATTAAATTGACTACAATAGCCTGGGCTTCTGTCGAGACCTTAATCTTCTAGCAAATATAACGTGTAAGAGTTAAATCCTTATCAAACATCTCTTAGCCTCTGGTTGAAGAAGTAGATCGTTAGAAAGGAAGCAGTATTGATTGTTGAAGTCTTAAACACCCGTATCTACGGGACGCCGTAAGCCGTTTTTTTTTTCTCTGGTCATTATCTATGCAGACTATTACGCTGACCAAAAATGACCTGCTTATCCGCAGAAACGTATACACACAGTAATGTAAACAGCACTAAACAACAAACCGCGGGATATAAACTAGTAACGACTACAGAATTATAATTGGCAATTGAACTGAGATTGGGTTTATACGACAGCTGGGTTTGTTGGCTGTACGACGAGCCAAATCTTATCCTAGCGTATTCATGCTATAGCAGCTATGATACCCATGATTCATGGTCTGTTGGTCACGTGACACGAAAAGACCAACGAAATAAACGGACGAGCGCACTGCCAGCTAGTGCCGGCTCGTCCCAACGTATAATAATACATCACTCAGCTTATACCCGCTGCTATACATGGCTTATGTACAAGTACATTAGACAAGATTTATTGGAAACTCTGTTGAATAGCAAGTTTTAATAACGAATAAATGCCTCTATATCACTGGTATTTTTTTATGGCAAGGATCGAGAAGTCGTGAAACTCTTCTACCACCAAATCGGTTGAATGAAAAAATCGTTGAAAGGCAACGTTCGGGCATACAGCGGAATACATGTACAAATAAACACACTGTCGAATGTAGATAATTATCATGGAAATTATTAATGGAAAATCAATGGAGCTCCTATGCATCACAAAGTCCTACACGTTATACTTATATATATATATACATATATAAGTTGCGCGTAAGTATGTGTGTCCGTCGCTATTTAGTATGAGTAAATTGTGATTCACCTACGTACCTTATACGCTACGCGACATATACTGCGCCCAAGGCATGGCGGATGCACACCATTCCAGATGAATGCCATTCACAGCAGGTGTATACTTATGTTTCGGACTTCTGACAAAATGAAGAAGCTGTGGTAGACCTCTATTCCTTCAGAAACGGTATCATCATGGAAACTGCTCTAAATAATACATCTGCTGTCATGCCTGTTATTATCTCATTTTTCATTCCAGAGCAATGGAACGCAATAGGATCCGTTACATCCATCCCGAAGCCTTCCGGCCGCTGACGACAATCGAAGATCTGTAAGCGTCTCTTTCTTTGCATTCATTATGTGCGCACATAGTTTATACTAATATAAACGTATATTTATCTAGTGCAGTACTAAGCTCGGTTTCAGACATAAAGCTCAGTAATTAATTGTGAGTTCTAAGGGAACGTAAAGTGTTTGTTAGCCAATTGCCAACGAAGCATATTGTGTCATGATAATAGTAGCAGTAAAATTCTTATGTACGAGCAGCTATCCACATTAACTGAATGTAACATAGGTTCGTCCAAATGAAACACCGTCGTAGTTAAACGTGAAGGTACGCTTTGTGGGGTAGTACATTGTTTACCCAATGGCAAGAAGATCGGCAGAGTTCAAAGCGTTGTCTTTTATCAATCAGAATGGCCAACCCAACGAGCATAAGACGATCAAGAAGAACGAATTTGCAAATATAGGGTCCCAACACGATTCGTAACCCAATGGTAGACATGTAGCCTTTTGTACATATACGGCAACAGACGATGAACGCCTATTACTAAATCACTTTCTTTAACTAAAAGCGCATCAAATTTTCAAGGTAGTAACTTCCAAGGCAGTAAGATATTATCGTGAAAAAGTGAACCATGCATTGAAGATTATTATCACAGTAAGGTAAAAAATGTTTTTCAAGGTATTCAGTATCTTATGATTTTTCAAAGTAGACACATAAAAACATAATCATAGATATGTAGAGAAAACAAGCTGTTTATAATAATTTCTTTACGGTAGACAAAGAGACAACAAGGCCAAAAACATCCTTTTTACCTGAGATTGATGGTCTGCATTATTGCCAGTTTTTGTACGGCTTCTGAAAGACGCAAGGAAGATTCCCATGAGGCAAATCGATAGGTGTTAAACTTCAAGGACTCAAAATTCATCAGAAAAACTCAGAACGACATTTTTGATGCACCTGAATCTTTAACATAAAAATTGGCGGCCGTTTTAAAGAGCAAAGTGTCAATTAGGTTGTCTAAATAAGCTCCAGTGGTTAACCTTTTTGAGTTTTTTTGGGCTTCTCTCATCCTTTTAGGTTTTTTTCCGTTTCCAGCCCTTGTTCTATCGGAACTTCTACCCTAGTCAAAAATTTAATTTCGCTGAAATTTTTATATGTAGCGTATATGAGGGACACTTATTTAGTTTAGATGAAATGAGTTTGCATCTACCAATATCGTTGAACGTACGATGAGTAATATATATATATAAAAGAATTGTGATGTTTTGCTTAATCAAGTGTGGCTACGCTCTAAAACGCATTGTATGGACATTTACCTTGATATAGTTTGATTATATGGATGTATTATATAGTTTCTAAACCTTCCGGGATCATTATTTATCAAACCGTTTGTAATCCGTTTAAACGCAACACACACCCAAACAGCGACTTAGCGGACAACCTAAATGTATGTTTCCACTTTTACGTGGGATACTGCTGTTAGATATTGCTTGAGGCTTTGGCTCCCAGCACGTTACAAAATGCATCTACGCCCGTTTCAGATTATATCTGATCTAGCGTTTGTCGGCAAACACTTAGAAGGTTTTCAAGGTTTACAAACGATTACTGGTCCACTGCACCATAAAAAGAAAAGACATAAAAAGCAAGTGCCTTTCGTACAAGCTGCTTTTTTGTACCTTTTGCTTTCGCACTTGGCCTGAACTGCACGTATTCGACATGTAATAGCATTACTAAAGTTCCGACACATATAATCCTTATATCGAATAAGGTTAATTACAGCTTTGCAACCTACATATTGGATATCATCATCTTTCGTTTCGCCTTTGCACAAACACAATCTTCGTCTTCCGTGTAATGTGGTTCTTTTATTGTATTGAATGTATGGCAGGGTACACAAACAAACATATTCGTATTAAAGTCGCATTTGGACCTGGCATCCCTGTTGTAACGGACGCAGGTCCGCTGCCTACTTTCGGGCCAGCTAACCTTAGCTCCGTTCTGCTTGTTGCCGTTAAACGGAGAAACCCATAGGCTCTATCTTTTCGTCTTTCCAGAGCTTAACCATTTGTTCACCTTCGCGTGCTTCGTTTTTTCGTGTGCTTTGTTTGCGACGCGAGCGATTGTGTTCCCGTAATTTTCTACACTTCACGCAGTCGTTCTTTGCGCGTTCGCGCGTGTTGTTCTAAAGGCTAGTACTGTACAGCGGCATAGCAGCATAAAAGCTGAGCGAACGTTTTGGTTACCGGTGGCTGCGTGATTTGGCTTACAAGAAAAGCAGAAGCACTCTCCTTTTCAGCCACATACTTTGACATTCTATTACTTGCGCTCTTGTCGCTGCTGATTCTCGCTGGCACCCTCCGGGATTTTCAGACCACGCCCACGTCGACAACCCTGCTTCGTTTACATGTTCAGCAGCTTTCAAATACGCACAGGAAGACGCATGAGACGCCACTGCCGCCTTGAGCTAGCAAGGACGGGGGCGCAACCTGGGGAATAGCGTAACATAGCGAAGGATACGGCTAGGGGGTAGCAGAAGGACTATCCGGGCTAATAAGCAGTGACGCGACCGAACGAAGGACTGCCAGGCTGCTTGGCTTAGAACACTAGCAGCACCACCATCAGTAAAGGCTGTGATAGTGATCAGAAGGTACGTGCCCCCAAACTACGACTGGAAAGATTTTCTTCAGGATGTAGAGGAGGGCGATCCGTGCAAGAAAAGAAAGGAACAAGGCAAACTACAGGATTGTACATGTGACAAAATCAAAATAGTGGCTCGTAGAAATGACTGGAAGGGCGAGAGGCCTTTGAATTGCCCTTTTTCAGCCCTTGTTTAGAGGTACTGAACACTGGTGACGAAGAACTTATCGTAATGATGGGAGAAAATATAAAAAGTTCAAGCTAATGTCACGTGCAAGTCACCTTTAATAATTGAATTGCCAGTCTTAACGCTACTTGTCCACTGATCAATGACTATTCATGCCTAGAGATTTTTAATAGGGTGAGCTTACTGAACGTCATTTATTATCAACCGAACGGCTAAAGCAAAAGGTCACATGCCGTAAAGCTATCTGAGTGCATTTTCTGTATTTACTTCGAAGATGAATTCGCATACAGACTTATGCAGGCGCTAGCCATTTTGGGAGGCTCCGTTTATCCTACGCTTTTCGATCAAAGGATGTTCGGGTGGTCTTACATAGTATGATACAAAAGACACACGACAGAGCTGTCGTGCATATATGATTTTTTGGTGAACGCAGTATCAGTAATTGCGGTTCACTTGGTCTGGCCATTGAAAGAATAGGTTCCACAGTTTTAATTACAAACCATTTAGCGTAGCCGTTTCAAATCATAGACCACGTTCCTGTATATACTTGCTTTTTTTTTTCAAAATGAAAAAAGATCGCTCTTTGAGGTTTTCTATGTCCGTGCGTTCGTAAACACAAGGTATCAACCCCGAAACTCTTCTTGGTCACCCTTATTCTAACTAATTTGATTTGCTGCACTTGACTCATTTTAGCTCCCTGAACCGAAACCAGATCCCTTTGAAAAAGATAACGTAAATTCCTGTCATAATCGTGCAATGCTACTTGCCCATTTACAAGTCTCTATTCTGATGCACTACAAATGCATAGCCCCATGACCCGTCGTTTCTAGAAGCGTCGTTAAATTCATGAAAAAGGAGCAACGAACCTCGGAGCTGGAACAAATTCAAAGGGTGATGGTGGCTCCAGTGAAGTGAGTGTGGGCTTCCGGGAAGCAGAATGCCCGTAGTAAAAGACGACGATGAAGCATGCGCAAAATGGTAGCGTCCCAGTCCGTGATTCTACCAACGTCTCACCCTGCCTTTCGGTGCTTTGTGGTATTTGTTTTGAAGTGGGTGCTTAGCTCTGGCGGGAGGCGATTAAGTGGCCCACGGTGAATCCTTTTACGCAGTTTACTTGTGGGTCATTTTTGGATTGTGAAGGGACATGTTAACCTAGTGAGCAATACCTGAAAGTGGCCGCACGTAAACGCGGCGACGGGATAGAACTACCTGTCTGAGAATTTCCCGTTGAAATTGCAAGTTTTCCGCAGATGCATATTCCATTACTGGATAAAACATCGACCATTCATACGCGTAGATTACGACTCTTTTTGCGTAAACAAGGCTAGCTAGCTGTATAGTATCAAGACGGCGTACAGTCACTGATGAATTTAACGTTTCAGTGCTTTTAACCGAAGAAAAGGCGCGGCACTTTCAAAAACTATTTTATATTTTTGTTACCCTACCTACGCTCTATCGATGGTTTACGTAAGACAAGAGTATAAAGCTCTAATATAGCTATATTAAGACTTGCATGTAACACGCTGCTGTAGACAGTCCATTGGCCTCTTTGGGTGGCACAAACTGCCCATAGTTTCTATGGTCTATGTCAGCAGAGTTGATCAAAATGTATTCCATTACGAAGTCTTTACTTTATCTGGTCGGAGAACCACGAACGATATTTATCAGTTAACCATATAACGATTTCATGGACAGGTGCTTTTCGTTCCTGAACACATGTCTGTATACGTTAGAAGAAACGCAATATAATCATTATAATGATTATTACGAATAGTATAGCTCAACGCTAATGTTCACAATAAGACGCTGCTCTGTCTTCAGACCTGAAGGACGTTAACACCGACCACATCATTCGGCTGACACGCATTCTAAATTTAGACAAAAATATCTAATTAAACTCAAATATACTTTATCAGGAGACGCCGATACAGCGAGTAAATGAACCTGTAACATTCGGACAACACAGAGAATTATGACACATTTTGGGATGCCTAGTCGGCTGGTCCTTTGTTATCACTACTCGTATTCATAGACAACTGCAGTTATGCACGGTGCGAATTGAAAAGCCGGTATATAGATTGCGTACGCAGGCGGTGCCTTCAGTAATCAGCGCGTGCTAAACAAATAAGCAGAGTTGCAGAGGTGGCCGCGCTAAACAATAAATCCGTAAACCTTATTTACTTTTTACACTATATATATACATGTGTGTGCATGTGGGTGTCCACATACCAATTAAGCTTTTACTTGCATGCATCACATGTAGCTTATAACGAAGATAAAGATGAATTGCCCTATATCTAACTTAAAGCAACGCATATCTCATGAATAGAAAAGCGGCAGTTATTATAGCAACTATGTACACTGACTCAATAAAAAAAATCCTTTTTTTTTTCTTATTTGTTTAGAGCAATCCGAACCTAAGGCTGTCGCATCAATCATCTATGATGCACGTCGTATCGTGCAGCCAATTTACATCTTACGTTGTAAGCACGTGTTGTAGGCGAACTTTCGGGGTAGTTTCCTCTACTTATTTCTTCGATAATCATTTTGACGTAAACAGGAAGGTCCGTGCTCAGTCGTATCCGGGATTCCAAAAAACCAACATGGACAAATTTGCACTTGATCTTTGACCTACAAATATATATGTAGAGGTTTTGTAAAGGTCAATATCTGGCGGACAAGGAGCAAGTAAGAGGATTGCCGGGCTTACTTTTCATACCAGCCAAGAAGAGAACTCTACGCATCGCTCCTTTTGAACGAAATCACGTAGCAAAATGAAGATCTTGGGCAACGAATGTATAGTACTAGAGCCTCTTGGGGTATACATTTTTGCAAAACATTTTTGCGGCATTTTTGCCATTCACACAATCAGTCATCAAAAGTGTTGACTTCCCCTTCTAGTAAAAAAAAAAAGCAGACATAGGGCGCCACGATCCTAAAGGCAGACGCGAAACATCTCGATAGTTACCTATGCTTAAGCTATTTAGACTATACCTTTTAGACTTGCAAGAAAGCCAAACAACACATGGCGCTGCAAGTCTCACACGATGTTAGCTCAACCACCAGGTGCAAATTATAACTATTATTATAGAGACAACAGAGCAATGGGGCACAGTTGTCCCACATGTAAATGGATCGAGTTTTATACCCAGCTGGCTAAGAAGGCTATTTTCATTAATGTAATTCATCTGCTACAACGTGACAGAACTCTGGAAGCTGCTAAAGGTAGACTAATTACGTCATACTAATCAGTATTGTGGGTTTGTGTCCATTGTAATGATTTGTGGCTTGTTGGTTACAGAAACATGGCGGAGAATTTGTTTTCTCAGTTGCCTCATTCAGGTTTAGCTTCTCTGCGCCGCATTGCCGTTTCCAATAACCCCCGCCTCCGAGACTTTCCGCCTCCGGAAACATTTCCACGAATCACCCGTCTATATCTGTCGTATTCTTATCACTGCTGCGCGTATAGGTGTGTATTAAGCAATATTAGTGTTTCATTTGCTTTAAATTTATCTTTATCGTTAAGTATAGCCTCTTTCTTCATAGCAAATGTGTATCTACAATAATTTATCAGCTTGCAATGGATTGGAGTGTGGACCATCTGAACTGTATGTATTTACACACTGTATGTGACGGAAATTACGTACTCACGATGGGGCCGCTAGTGTATTAAGTGTGCCATGACAACCTTTCCACTGAATTAATGCAGAGACACTTTGAAGCTAAATGCATGACGCCAATAAAAAAAAAAATATGATAATCATGTTCTTTCATAAAACTTCCATGTTATCAAAGGAGATAAAGATCTACACATTGAGGTAACTTTAATCTCATACAATTCACTACAGCTAAAAGTCCGCAGCAGAAAATATGTTCACTCAATTCATAGATAAATGCCTATTGTTCGGCGTAGGATACGGTGGCAGTATTTATTTTACGAAAACCGAAAAAACTTGATCTGCCGAACTCAGCGAGTGGGTAAATTCGCCCCGAACACCATACGGTTACACAGCAATATGTTTTCCGGTTCTAGCGGGCAAATGACTAAAACAAAACGTCAAGGATGTCAAAAGAAACTGCAAACTTGGCCGTATCATTCGGGGTGCACTTCGTCAAGTGGGTCATCATCTCCGATACTCTGGTATTCACACGTTCGGTATTTCGTTTCAACAGTTTCAAGAAGCTCTTTTGCAAGAGCTCCACCAAATCGACTGCATAAATAACCACATATTATATTCTCGCTGTTGCGTCTCGATACAGAATATGGTGAAAACCGGATTGCTATTTGTCTATGAACCAGAACGGTTTTATTTAGAATCTCAAAATGTCCAAGTATATCCGTTCTTTAGTCGTACGGTGAGGTGCTTGTTATTGTCATGTGCTCGATGTATAATTATGAACGAACTAATGGTACCTGTATGGTATTTGTCTGGAATATGCAGTGAGCCTGATCAAGACTCGATGCTAGGAGGTGGCTTTGGGCTTGGAATACTTCCACCACGTACTAGGACACGACCTATTGAAGAACCTGTCACTCCAGACACCGTGCTATGGCTCAAAGACGATTTTGGAGATGAACAAATCGATTTCGGCACCTGGAACCGCTCTCACGAAATGGGATACTTTGACGGTAAGTAATAGCGAGCAGTTTTCAAGTTCCAGAGCTATTATGTTATACTGTCAAGCTAGTAGATATTGGTCTCTAACTATTGACCCAATGCTCGCTCGAAGAGAAATATACTGTTAACCCGGTTTTAGGCACCACGTAAAAATACAACTTAACGGATCTCGTAGGACATGTAGTCTGTTTTTATTGCGTTGTTTGTTACAACCTTGCCGGAAACACATATCAAGTAAGTTAGAACAATCGACAGCAATTAAGCCTGTCTCTACCTGTTTTTCGATTATTTTACTGTTACCAACATGGACGGATGACATTGCGCATGCAGCCAATGCCTCGGACAAGTTTCCCGAATTTGCGCGGACCTTATTAAAGGCCTATGGGTCAGACTATATTATCCCAGATAACTTAGCTCAGTATGCTGAAGAATATATGGAGGACTATCGAGGCGCACCGGATCACCATAACAATAATGGCGATAGTACCGGCTCCAACCACAAACATTTCATCACTTGCCTTCCAACGCCAAGTAAGTTTTCAAGTTGTTTCAATTGACCTATAGCAGTACTAGTAAATAGAAGTACTAAGATTAATGGTGCAAGCGAATAAGTCCTATCGAGCATCGATAGCTGTTCGGTTTTGGTACCTTGTTCTCAAGCAATCTGCCTAATTTGTTAACACAGAGCTAATACATGCCTCATGAACCAGCCTTACCTTAACAGAAACTATTTGGAACTATCTCTCTGTCTGTGGAACAAATGGACGTTCTGGTTTTACGTGTTTTTACTTAAACACTGTGTAAATTGACTAAAGCAACCAATGTAGTATTCGAAGTTTTTGGTATTTGACAACGGACACAATCCAACCGCATAGTCATACAGGAAAAGAGAGTGTCAACCCGCTTGGGCTAAAAACTGGGCCAGATCATATTATAATTGTACGATTCAGTAGTACTTCTTTCCATTTTATAAGTATCGATATATCGAACCCCACTCTCCCTCCCAGACACAAGGATTTCATCCATCTTGATGGGTGGGATATTTCACGGGTTCGGACCGTCAAGATGCCCAACCCGAAAAGAAGATTAATGAACTACATCAAGCCTGCACGTCGGTCATCTGTTGTATTGTGCTGCGTGCGCACTTAGCATTCTCGTATATGGCAAACCAATATACCTACGCCTCCAAATCACTGACATCGTTAAACACGCTCGGACGACACGTTCAAGGGACGAGAACAACGCGAATGACGGTGACACACACGCGCGATAACACCTTTTTTCTTGCTTACTGGCCTAGCGTCTGCCTCTGCTTTCTGCACAGCATTGTATATGTACTTCACTCTTACGCTCCTCAGCCGGCCAGGCGTGGTAATGCTGATAATTCCACGTAATATGGCAGTTTTCCCTGTCACGCTATTGTCGTTCATCACGGAGCGCACCTACCGTGCAACAGATGGCCCATACACATAGGTATCTTCGCGGCGTAACCGGAGATTCACTGGGGTTTGTGAGGATTTGACGAGCCGAGAAAAATCGGGTTCGCGCAGGAAAGGATGACATATATACGCCTTATGGAAGACTGTCTAAAGTCGTACATAACGGTGATGATACGGAGGTAGAGATTATAGCTGCGAAAAACGACAAGAGAGTGGCGAAAAAAAAAGTAGAATTAACAAGCTGGAACATTTTTGATCTCATTAAAAGTGTGCTTCAAATATAATACAATTAATGCGTAATGCTGCTACTGTGAAGCGTGCTTCACAGTGTTGCTCCGCTCGATTCAATTCCCCAGTTCAGAACAGAATATATGTCTATCTTTAATCTTATGGAATGCGTTCGAATAGGCTGACGGCAGCGTAGTTGTCTCAATACGTTCAGCGCCGTGAACATGTCGTCTAGTGAGAATTTGCTTGCAGACGAAGCAATACATAACAATACGGGCTTGGACTATCCGGCAAGTGCTGCTAATTTGTAGGCAATAATGAGCTGTGGTGTCTTTCTGAGAAGCTAGGGATTTTTACTTAATGATAACGGTCACACAAAGCGGATACCGTGTCGCTAGGACATCGGACGGCTGGAGCCCGGCTTAGGGCTAAAGGCGAAAAAGAAAGCTGTGCTCGTCCTTTTTGCTTCCTTGTCTGACGGATCAGTTCCGACCCAAATATCTACTTACAAATAGTAGACGTCTGATCAGCTCTATGAAGGCGTTACGGAGGAGCCTCGTAGTTGTAACTTACCATTCTTGCAAATGGATACCTTACACAGCGCGTAGCATTATTTGTGAATATGATGTCAGTTATGAACATACTTATGGGAAAACGGTATGCTTAAGGTAGGCGTTTCCTTTATGAGATGTTTGTCGTCCTTCACAAGGTCCGTCAGGCTGTTAGCTATCACGACTGTTTAGAGTTCCTGCTTGGTGACTCGCCTTCCTTTTGTTGTCGTCGACGTATGACTATACAGCGGGACAGCTGAAAACAATTGCCCTATTTGCACGTGTTTTTGTTCCTTATTGTTGCAGGCCGCAAGAGACGAATCAAAAGCTCTTGTACAGCTTAGAACGTAGATATTGTGAAATTTCAACAACTATCTAATTAATATCGTTGTTCTGCGGCAAGTTTTTTTTGTCAGCTTTGTGTTTTCCATTTAGTGAAGGTCGGCTGACCCAGAGCTTCTTAATTTCTTGTGCTACTTCCCGGTCATATTAAAGTAAAGAAGAACAATGTAGTCAATATATATTTGACAACTAAACAAGCTCAGTGTCATATCAGAACCTCAAATTCATATCACAAAATCGGACCATAAGGATTTAATCTAGGATAAAGTTCCCCTTTCACAATAAGTTATAAATATACCTTGTTCACCAATAGTCCAGGTGTTGTCAAAGCATTGTCATGACATGAGATATCAACTGAACTTTTGCAGCCTATGCTATTTGCTATTTTAAAAAACTTCGGAAAAATTTATTTAGTCAGTTATATTGCATTGTTTCTGCCTTCTAGTAATATATTCTTACCACACTCATTTTCGTGTTTATTGAGAAAGTTCTGCAAAACTTGCAGTTGCATTGTGTATTGATACGTTTATATATTATGTTGATTATTTTCAAGTAAAAAATTAATTTAATAAATAATACGTTTTATTATTATAGTTATAGTTAAAGCACGGAGGTGACTTTCTATGTTACGTCCTTGTTCATACACGGTGCATAGTTTCAACGGCGATTAGTACCTAGTGCTTCGCTGTTCATACCATCATCGTTCCATCTTTTGGCAACAATGGGCTGCACGGCTGTAAAGATAAGTAGTAAAAAAAATAAGCTAACAGCGTAGAAGTTTACTAGCAAAAATACAATTCAAATTTGATCAGACAGCTGCTTATCCAGTAGAAGATACCTGAGAGCGCCAAAGGTCTGGTTAGAATTTTTCTCAGTACTCACTAAAGGTTTAGAATGAACTAGCCCTATAAACCTAACACATGGGTAAAGGGCATGTGTTCGTAGCTAATATTAGTAGTTCAAGTGCTTGCTTGACTCTAGCTAAATTATCTTTTTTCCAATATAGCTTCGATAAGAATTCTCTTCATCTAAAGATTGATTCTGTTATCACTTGCAGATATAAGGCTATTTGAATATAGTATTTGTCTGACTGTTAACCAAACAGCTGTTGCGAGGGCAACTTAGGATAACAGCAATGTGCTTATTGTTCTCGGCTTCTAAACTGTATAGCAGCGTATAATATAGTTCAGCGTTCGTCTTCGATTAACGTGCGTCCGTAATATTATCGTATTAGCGCCTTTCATGCCCTGCGAAGACCTGTTTGGTTGGTGGACTCTGCGCTGTGGCGTATGGGTGGTTTTTTTGCTCGCCCTTTTGGGCAACGGACTCGTAGTCGTCGTACTCTCTTTTGGCCGTTCCAAAATTGATGTACCTCGCTTCCTCGTGTGCAACCTGGCCATGGCCGACTTCCTGATGGGCATCTATCTCGGATTCTTGGCTGTTGTGGACGCGTCGACCCTCAGCGAATTTAAGGTAATGTTACCTATAGGATAGTTCTGCTTCTACTGATTAAAAGCTGTGCGTTCGGATCGAGAAAAAAACCTATGGTTGAACGCATTCTACGGCTAACATCCGAATCGACGAAGCTTTTGTCTATGATACTGATCTATCTATAATGTATTCGATTTTTGGAATCCTTTTAAAAGCTAAAATTTTAGCCACTGAATATAGAACCCGCAAATAGTTGCTTTCTCGTTTTTTAGGTCGAATAGGCTTTTTTATTGCAATGATATTCTTTCACCGTAGCCTTATCCCGAATGCTTCAATACGGTAATTTTTACCCCCTTATATTATCTATATATTCAAACCTACAAGAATAGCCCTACAGTTGAGAAAATTAAGTCAATGATTGTAGGCTTCCACTTCACCGAGCTGTTGTGAATTCTGTTCAAACCCTAAGCTCCTTTCTGATCTCCTACTGGTACTGTCAACTATCGTAAACGCGTACTTAATTTTCCACCATTGAAATGACCCCTTCACAACTCTTTGCACACCTGGAAGCAGACCTATATATACGATTATCGAAATCCTCTGTTCTTTTTTTAAATTTTATATCTATGTCGCAGTTCTATGGGGTAGCTTGGCAGACATCCTTTGGCTGTCAGCTAGCCGGCTTTCTAGGCGTTCTATCTTCCGAACTGTCTGTCTACACTCTGGCCGTAATTACAATGGAGCGAAACTATGCCATCACGCACGCGATGCACCTCAATAAGCGGCTCTCCTTAAAACACGCCTCCTATATTATGTCGGTTGGTTGGAGTTTCGCTTTTGTTATGGCCCTTCTGCCGCTATTCGGTATCAGCGACTATCGAAAATTCGCCGTTTGTCTACCTTTCGAAACCGAGGATCGCGTATCACTTCTGTATGTCGTGTTTTTATTGGCCGTTAACGGGATGGCGTTTCTCATCCTGATGGGGTGCTACCTCAAGATGTACTGTGCAATCCGCGGCTCGCAGGCCTGGAACTCCAATGATTCACGCATCGCTAAACGAATGGCATTGCTTGTATTTACCGATTTCCTCTGCTGGGCGCCCATAGCCTTTTTCTCGTTAACGGCATTGTCCGGCATTCATCTGATCAACTTAGAAGAAGCAAAAGTCTTCACGATATTCGTGCTTCCGCTCAATTCGTGCGCTAATCCGTTCCTCTACGCGATTTTCACTAAACAGTTCAAGCGAGATTGCGTGCTCATCTGCAAACGCATTGAAGAATCACGTGTGACCAGAGGTAAGGGGGATAATATTAAGCTTCCTGTTTACACATCATTATATTCAGTATTCAGTATCTGTTCAGTATACCAAAAGTAATTTTTTCATTAAAAGGCTAATAATAATGAGAGGCTTTATCCGATTGCATAAGAAATGTTTGACAGGATCAGGGCAACGCAAATAATAGATGAACGCATGAGAAGTGCCTTTTTCTCTGTTTGCCACAGGTATCGGGCGCTGCCGACATTCGTCGAACTTTTCCAATCGGCATACGCTTGCGAATACTAACTCGGCCGGAGAACGGAAGAGCCTATCGAATGAGCAGCAGTGTCAATGTCAATGTGGAATGATTAAGAACATTGCGCGAGACCATCTGATCTCGTCACAGGGCGGGTGGAAGAAGTTCGCCAGAAGGTACCTTTTGTGCCAAGAAGCTGAACCGGTATGTACTGGCCATTGAGAAGTTTGCTCTTAGCTATAAGTAATCGTTCCCATATGCAGGTGATTGTGACGAGTACGTATTAAGAAGGTACAGCGGCGTATTTACTCATACGGCAGCTTGTCATAATGTAATGATATTTGGGCACACTAATGTCCCTTAGTTCTTAGCTGTAATGGTTAAAAATCCTAGTATTTGGTCGAAAAATCACTGCGATGCGAATACTTTTCATCGTAATTAAAGTTAGTTATACGGCAAAAGCTATAAAACGGCGATTTCAATGGAAGTTTGGCCGCAATCTGTTTCTACGAACGATGGACACCCCCTAGTTAGCTAGTATTAAAATAGACGTCCTCTTGCGCGGACAGAGCGTAAGTTTACTTTTTAAATGTCTTTCGAATTGAAATTTCTTAGTGTTTAATTAAGTAGTTAATATATGACATGTCACACATTTACTTTATATGTTCATATATTGCAATGGCGGAGCAATGCTAATTATTAAGCGATGCGTTTGGTGTAGTGCGAAGCCAAATTTTCGTAATTTCAATGGTTTTCCTGAAAAAATGGCAGGAAAGCAAAAGAAAATAAGGCAGAGTCTTGGCACTCAGTGTAGAAAAAAAATGAATTAGATCCTTTTGTAAAAAAGATAGCTACCTCCTGATATGAGCTCTGTAGTTATTATCATCTATATCATGTATACAGGATACGCCAAAAAATGCATAATATGTTTATATTCTCAACTATAAGGTCGTGCTTTTGGAAAAAAAAGCTACAATTCAATTAAAAAATGAGTCTATTTTCTATTTAAACCGACTGAAACTTTTGTGACGACTGTTTTATATTCGCAACAAAGTATCCAATAAGATTTCTGCGTGCACCACTTATATCTAATCACAGGGTGTGTCCACACAGACATCGTAATGTACGACAATGCATCTCATCTTTAACTTTGCTCCATAAGAAAAAGAAAGTACGGAGCAAAGTCACGCTGCATCAGACACTGAAACCTCTAGGAACACTTTCAAACTTCCGGTAGAAGGGGTACGCAGGCGGTTCTGTTATTGCCTATTAACACAGAGGTATAACATGTAATTTCTTTACAATTTTTTCTTTACAATTTAGGTATCATTCCTAACATTTTGTTTAATGTGCACTTGGAACATCACATTGTAGCTTATTTTTTTTAGCTTTAATTTTGTAGGCTGGGATACACATTCTATGTGACAATGTAATGTATGGATACATTCTGTAGCGTACTATGCACTTATTATTTCAAATGACAGTCAATGGCGGGCTAGTTATTAAATCAAAATGATTGTTATAATCTTATGGCAAAGTATAATACTGATGCTATGGTTAGATGTAATAAAAATCAGATTAACCTTAAATTATTTGCCTATAGCTTCGCCTGTAAAATATAAAACCTGTAGCAGCATTTGTTTGCATCCCCTAGCGACGGCGGTAACGAATGCCCTAATCTGCGACGGTTTATCACCGATTACTCTAGCTAAAACACCGTAATGAATTTGGTTCATAGCTTACGTTATGGTGATGTTGTCGGGACCCGTTTAGCTAGACTAAATAATTTCCGACAGCCAGTGCTCATGCAAACGCACCTAGGAAAGCCTACTCAAAAAACTGGTAGCAGCAACATCAGCTTAAACCTGAGTGCTTGTAGGAGCAGGCGAAGCAGGTCAGGCGAGCAAGCAACGCAGAATACAAAGCTAATTTCTCTGCTCCTTCGTTTTTCTCCGTCCCGGCCTCTTTTGTCCGTACGTCACTGGTGTCGTGAGCCGAGATCGCTAACTTCGAAGGCTCTTAATGCTATTCCAAGGGAAGCTAGTACTCATTTGGCTCTGGACGAAGCAAACGACAATTTCTCAGCTCCTAGATCCTGTTCCACCTTTTTTTGTTTTTTTACTCCGAAACTACCTTTCTAACTAGACACTGCCCCTGGGCCGACGGCATATCGCCGCCTGGGTCACCGGCAGTCCTACGTCACGGTTCTGCAGCTGCCAGTTATCCTCGCCGCTTTATGGGTCATTCTTTTTATTTACAACTTATATAGTTAACTAGTCACTGGTACTATTAACTGAAGCACAAGTCGGACCAAAAACGAAACACTAGCGAATGATAGCGATGATTCTTTTATTGGGGACGACTTGGGAAAGGGGGTACAAGCACAGTCTCCACGAGTCATAGGCACTGAATGGTAGAGACAAACGTCGAGCGGACAGAGTATGTCTCTTGATAAAACGCTTGCTCATAGTAATATTGCGTCTTTCGTTGTGTGACAAGGCATGGCTATTGTTTTCTTGTACATCTTGCATAGCGAGGAACTCTCTGCACGAAAAGTTCGGATCCTGTAGAGCTTCCTGACTTCAATATTCCATACGGCAAACACCATGTGCGTCTCAAGTTTGCTAAGTACTAGACAACTGTAATAAAGTAGCGGATGGAGCAGGATTTTTACGCTCTGTCAGGCTTGATTGCGAAAATGAACCTTTCTTATGTCTGTATATTTCAGGAGACGGAACACAACGCATACAATATGGCACTTGTTCGAATCCAGCGTAACATGGAGCGTGGTGCCAATCGAACGTCATCAATATCGTCCGAGAACTTCAGCTCACGGTCGGACTCTTGGAGACAGGGAAGCATCCCTTTCAAACTTATTGACAGGAACGGCCAACGGAAAAGCTCTTGGGGAGTTACTCGAAAGGCGTCTCAGGTAGCTATATGGCTAAAGGACGCTCTAAGTACGATGAAGAATGAATATCTTAGATCAATGTACTACAACTTTTTGTACGGAGTGTATAAATTTTTTTTATGACAAACAGTTTATAGTTGCACTTAGTTACTTACAGAATCTCCTATTTATAGCGATATTATCCTTCATTAAATAGCCTAATTTTCTTCAACAAACAGCGTATAGAAATTTAAAGATGGATGGCTTCGGGAGGCATGAGGTTCCTTTCAGATATCGCCTTCATCGGCAGCGAACTGTTGAAACGGGTGTAGAAACACTACAATGGCATTTTTTGCAACATCGTTTTTTATTTCTATCTTATAAACGCAACAAGAAACTTGGTGCTATAATGCTTATAACAATATGCTATGATACTCATGAGCAAAGCTTTAGGAATACGTTGAACATTACAATGCTCTATTTAGGAGTACTGATGTCTCTGATGCTATTTTGAATATGTTCGCAGAAATACATTACAGATTACACGGTAGAACCAGGATGAAGTGTTTTTTAGGATGAAATTTTACTAGCGAACGAATCAAGGTTTGTTCAAGGGGTAAACGAACCTCAATGTCTTTGTACGAAAACCTGTTCGTTCCAATTCGTGATAATTCGAACTTTTGTTATTTTTCTCAGCAAAATATTATATAATTTTCAAATAATCTTTACGTTCTTATCATAAACTTGCTGCGTACATTTTTATTAAATGAACCGACATAGATCCGTAGATTACAGTATACGTCCCTGGTACTAATCTCCTTAACTGTATTAGTAGCATACTGGTATATTCCATTTCTTGTCCACAAGTGTCATTGTTTTATTCATTATGTTGCCGTATTTATTACATCTGATACTACTCTATCTGTGATTCCAGGATTCATCGATCAGCTGCAGTCGTCAGGATTCATCGACATCGACCGTACGAATCACCTCTCGTTCATCGGTCAGCAGCGGAGAGGCCGGTACACTCCTTAGGGGGCTTCATCTTGGAAATATGGGTCCTCATGGGCACCATGGTGGATGCGGGGGTCCGTGCAGCGGCCACGGACCGCTAAGGCCACAGCCGGGTAAGTCTGCTTCCCTTGATCCGACCTTGGCACGCCTCTATCGCGCTCCCATACAGGGGAAACCTCAGCTGTGTCGTCAGCTGGCCGTCGATGACGGGTTCCGTTCCCTCGCAAGCCAAAATACTCCGCATAGCCACAGCCACAATCCAGGCGATGGCATGACTACGACCTCAAGTCATCATCCTACCAACATCCTTAACCATCATCAGAATTGTACGGCGACGAGCTCAGCAACGGTAGCCAGAAGCCATAGTAACCAGGGAACGGCTGGTAGCCAAGGCGCTGGACGCTCTCCACCACATCTTCGAAGATTTAAAGGTAAAAATGGTATCAACATTGCATAATGACAAAAAAGCTTGAAAATGCGTGGCGCTAGAATTGGTCAGGTTCGAGGCGACTGAATGACAAATATATAGATTTAGTTCCTAGAAACTACAGTGAATCTAAAAACAGTATCTCGTAAATAATAAATTGAATAAATCATGTAAAACGAAATGGATCGAGCCTTTGTACTTGTAATAGCTTACCTCAAAGCTGCACTTACCCTAGTTGTATGACAAGGCCCATTTTTAAGGCCGTAAAATGAATGCACTAGTTATAAAAAAACTGTTTACCAAGCGACAAAAGCTTCGCCTCAAATAGAAAAATTCATAAAAATTATTCCATAAACAAATCCAGAAAAAATCATAAACAGACACAATTACCGTAGACTGATAAATACACTTAGATATATAGAGTTTTCACAACAAAGCATCGTATGTTTCTGCTTGGTTTGCAAATTTCAATACAACCAAGTTATACACACGAGATTGTTTATAAACGACAATAAGGTAAATAGCCTCTGGTAACTTTTGTGACGAATAAGCAAACAAGTGATATTATGCATTCGGGATTTCAGCTTAAGACAACTTTGCTGGGCCTTGAGCCTTATATTTTTATTAACTACTTCTGTTGAAGTTTACTTTGTGTACGATGTAGTAAAAAAGTAAGAAGTAAGGCAAGTTATTGTTAAAGAAAAAACGGATACAAATGGATATTTATAGAACTTTTCATTTTTAATCGAAGTGTGTTACAACTGCGATGTCGTTGGCTATCGAATGAAGGGCACACACGGTGGATTCATACTGTTTACGAAGGGCCGGACAGGAAATTCCATTTTTATGGTTGTGACTTAAGGGTATTTCCTGGCGAACCCGGCATTGCACAAGCTTTGTTTGGATTAAAATACATTTACGAAACAGCTCAGACCGTAGAATCAGTTTAACAAAATATCAATAGCAATTTACCTGGGTCTTCTGGCTTCAATTTTCACTATACCTTTATTACAAAACTTGCAAGCGTCCTCTCCTAGACTAATTATTTTTTCTCGTTTCAAGATGCATTTGATTTATTTTTGGTCGATTCCTCGAAAAGATTTTCTTAGTTGGTATAACAAAACCACATAGTTTTTTCGCTTTAACCAAAAAAAAACAATTGTTACATAGCGTTTTAGCAACCTCTACTCTTTTAACATACTGAACGACACCTTCATTCAGGAGACCAACTCTGTTCGGCATGTGCTCGCAAGGAAATGGGCCTTGTGGGTTCATCTGGACCGTTGGCCCCTGGCTCGCGTAAAGATGACAAATTCAACTGCTTCTACAATCGGTTAACAGAGACGAGTCGCGAAGATTCATCGGAAGCATCAAAAGATGATCCTCCCGGAACTTCAGAACAGAGCAAACAGAATCACTCGGAAAGCAAACATACAGATACGTCGAACACACTCGATAACACAAATTCGAACTCTGAAGATACTCACGGTCACTCCATACCCAGCACAGCGACAACCGGCATCATGTCCTCCGACGGACAGAGCGTTCCTGATAGCAGCGTGCCTACTGAAGGACTTGCAACCGATTGTTCCGTGGACAGCAATGCTCCGCTGAACAAAGACAAATTGAGCAAGAAGGACGAAGGCAGATTTGGCGGCAAGGACAAGAAAGACAAAAAGGTAAAAAAAAATCGACAGTCACAACAGCAAGCTGGGCATCATCATATTAGCGTTGACGATATTAATGCGAAGGCGCAAGCACTTCAAGCAGGTCAGACGGGCGCGGCAAGTGGTTCGGCTAGTCGAAAGACGGTCTCCGATAACTCCCTCAAGAAACTGTCTTTTCGAAACTTGCCGCATTTTCTACGTCAGTTTTCATCTAGTCAAAGTCCCAAGAACTCTGCGCAAATACCTCAAAGCAGCGCCCAAGGTATGTAACAGTGCGCATGGTTATATATTTAATGCCAATAGGTGTACTGTTCATCAGACAAATACTTAACTTAACCTAAAACTTGTTCAACAATATCATTAAAACAGAGCAGGTCGAATGTTTTAAATTGTTTTTTCTTGCTTACACTTCTTGTTCACCCCAGGGGCGGATAAGCATTCAAAAGAGTAGATAAATAGCCCTTATTGTAAGTTGTTGTCGATTCGTTCTGTCTTAGGACAATTCTTGGGTCCTCCAAGTGCCGGCCTGCAGTCCTCCAAAAGCGACACGGGCATTGCGCAGCGCGCTGACTGGGGCAGCCTTGAAGCACACACAGAACGAGCCAGCAGCTCTGATTCAGAATCTGAGCCTTCCGAAATTCGTTTCATGGCTCAGGGTCCAATGACCCCAAAACTTCCGTCGATTCGGACGATTACTTTGCCACCGGAAGACGAACCCGATGCCGCGGAGCATTCGCCGCTCATTTGAGAGATTGAGACCATCAAGAAATGAAACTTCCTTGAAACCCTGCGTCGCATTGTGTCTCAGAAATCAGCAGTCTTCACATGTCTAATCGTTATCAAGCACTGCATCACAAATCTGCTTGATCACGCAGTTGCTTTGAGACGAGTGCCGCAAGTGAAGCACGAACAAAATCTTTAGTAACCTAGGAAGATCGATTCATGATGTTTCCTTTTTAGCGGAAAATGGATCATTGTATCGCACCACCATGATGGACTTCAACGAGATTATTGCTCCGTTCCTCATAATGTATCTTGTACTATATGTCTATACGCGTCACGATCATACACACACCGAAAGATACGGATACACACTGTAGAACGTTACATTATAACTACCACTGAACAGAAAACCCAGTCAATTGCCTCCATGCGAGCACTTGTGTAAAAAGGGCTTAGCAATCTCAATATTTTCTCCCCACGGTGATTTTAACGTTGCCTCGACTGTTTTTTCCCTACATATAGTTAACAACGTTCAAGTTCTCTTGAGTAGAGTGGTGAACGTTAAACATTTATTCAAGATCACAACGCAGGCCATCAATACTCATTAGATGATCGCGAATTAGTCCAGATTTTTTTCAATACCATTCTTACTTATGAAGACGTAACGGATAATATCCTTTGATGGATAAAAGAGTATATATATATATATATATATAGGCCCGATTCAGGATTTGAGGATAAAGTTAGCTTAGTTAAATGGATACGTTTTATCGTGAGAACTGCTTGCTCGACCCGTTAGTATCTTTCCGAAATTGATTTGCCTCAAAGAAAAAAAACAATGCGAGATTGCTAGTTCCTTGACGTGGTTCCTTTAGTTCAGCTATGAGAAGTTCAATGATAGATAATGAATAAATGAATTTACACGACACACGATCAGTGTTTTGTTATATATGCAGATATAGGAATACAGAAATATACATTGCTGCTTGTAGATGAGTGCATACGAACACGTAGACGCATAGAAAGGCCACAATCAAACAATTGCAAGGAAGATACTGATAAGGAATACGAACTATAGGTACGATGTATGTATACTCAATTCACTATTTCTACATATGTACATCTTCCGCTAAGGGTAATGCACCCGTTGTGTTTACTACTAAATACTGTTGGCTATTTTTGACTAACATACACATAGACCCAAAGGCACACTTACACACCGGACGTAGAGAAATGCACTTGTTATAATGGAAATATCGTAGTTATCTATTGATAACGGCGACGAAAATTATGGTGCTACTAAAATATTATCACGGCCGCATAAACGTACGCCTCCCATAGATCCGTGCGAAATATATTTAATTTAAGTTAATTTTATTGAAAATTATCATGACGGTAGCTATAGTGGACAAAAACGATGTCGTTTGGGCGTGAATACATAGTTCGAGTACATTGCCATTGACTTTTACGGGTTAGTCTAGAAAGGCTTAAGTGTAGAGTGATTCCGAGCAAGTATCAAATCATATCAATGATGATCTGCTCAGTGTACGTAAGACGACCTATTCATCTGATGAGTATCTGTGGTCATTAGTATAACGTTTGGTTCAGAGAACTGTCGGTGCTTATTTAAGCTTTAGAGAGCTGTAGATTATGATTTTACTATATACTAGATACTATTTAAGGTCTCAATACTCAATTCCCGAGACCGTCGACACCATATATACAGGCTATTACTATTATTAATTAAAATTATCTACAACTATTATCAATATTGTTTCTTCGTGGTACGTGTGCATGTGGGCGTGTGCTTACGATAGGTCCTTCTCTTAGCTGGACGTAGCCTACTCTATATGGGACTCTAGCCTACATATAGTAACTCTAATGCTCCGGACCTCAAAATCGAGGTCTTTCGACGAAAAAGAAACTTGATGTCGGACTGTTTTTTGTACACATGAATACGCAATCGGCCGTCCGGGCCAATTTTACGTCTGTCGATACGCCAACCCTTGCGTCGAACATGGCTATAGCCTTAGGACCATACGGTATACATGTATTCTAAGTAGAAAAACACGTGTTCAATAAATCATTATTATTGTATCCTGCGGAAATAATTGTACATTAATTACCGTATATTATTATCCTTCACACCAAGCCGCATAGTTTCTTCAACACAACAATTATTTATAGATGTTATAATAATTATAAAGATCATGTGTTACTCTGTGTATGTATATATATATATATATATATACATTCATGCGTAGATACTATATACAAGATGAACACGCGTACGAAGAGCACAAAGTTTGTCAAAACAAGCACTTGCGTTCGTCAATTCATGTCGCTACGGGCAAAATTTGCCCTGGTTCCTTCGTCGCTTTCCTATCGAACGGTTTTCTCCAATCGTCAAACTATAGTATTTGCTGGGCTGAAACGACCAAAACATCGGCCCTGTTGTTGGGCGTGCTTAATATGGAAACATGAACCAGAGGCCCAAGACAGTCGAGGCTGATCGTAGTGAATAGATTAGTTAAGAAAATAATTTATCAAGTTGTTGTATCGAGGTTCGACGCTTGCTTAACGATCATTTGTGAATGAGTACTACTATTATGGTAGATATGGGTGGTAGCAGATAACACGGTGACTTTTCTTTAAGGCAAAATGTACAGGACCGAACACTAAAGGACCAGAAATTCGAGCGAATTGTCAACAGGTTGTTTCGACCCCATTAATAATAGCCTCTGAAGCTGCACCTCTATACAGAGAAGGTTACAGATTTTGAGCTGTAAAAGTCAGTTGATGCATGCAAATGGCGTATTGGCCTGTCACGGAGAAGATAAGGATTAGCTGGGTGTGTGGGAGGTGTAGGGAGGGGAAGATATTGATTACTATCACAATAGAGAACAGTAAAGCATACTCGGAACGACTATAAAGATCATCGACAAGACAATGTAAAACATCGTGGCTTACTAATGACAGTAGAGAAATTATACCCCTACACCGAAATGTCGGTTACATTCGTGTAATATTTATTCAACGCCAAATGATGGCACCAACACGAAACACCTATAAGGATAACGTGAAAAACATATGAGGAAAATAACAAATAAACAATATCTACAAATCTGTTACAAATAACGCATGTTTTTCGTCTTTTTTAGTTGGCTAGCATCTGATATGTTTCCTGTATACTGCACAAGTTATACGACGATCATACGTGGCCGTTTCGAAGGGTTATCTAGCGAGGACTAATGTTAAAGGTCAATTTGCGTTCGGATCTTTAATTATGCCTGCTGATTTAAGCATTACTTATGTTACGTAAATAAATGTAATTGCTGCTCAGCATTGCTTCAACCTGCTTCTTCGGGTGGAACCGACTACGTAGATTTACAAAAGTGTGTCTCAGGCATCAGCAGCATTGGGCTTGATACCGTGATGTCTCACGGGACACGCGACAGTTTTAGGCGCTGTCGTATGGTGCTTGCTGTGTACGGTTTTGAAACAGAAAGAAAACACAGCCGGATATTTAAAGATAATGTGAAACGCGCGATAAGAAATCTAGAGGATAGTGCGATGAAGGAAGGTTTAGCAGTCGTTTTGATATCGATCTATCATTAGGTGCGCCTGGGAGTTATTATCACATCCAAGGGTCGTTCATTTCGTCGCGCGCAGGTCCTTTTGCTTGAATCCCAATACTAATATAGAATGAAACAGTCATATAATAATGTAAAGTATGCATTGGCAGACGTATGATGCGGAGCGATGGAACGGTTCACCTTCTTTGCAAAGGCTAATGACGGCGAATCCACTTCAGCGGGATGCAAATGTAAATATTTGATCATGTTCGATCTGATTACCCGAGGCGATAACTAAAATATGTGTATGGTTTTTGATTCATCTGCGCTTCTGTGAAGCACAATTAAGTTGCCACGTACGTCAACGTAAGTTATAGTCTACATACTTAACATTTGTTGCAGTAGTATCAGGGAGAAACTACTCTACCTTCGTTCTATGCGATCGCATACTTGTAAGATCACTTAGCACGTCTAAGCAAGGATCTAACTTGAAGAAATAGGCCCGAGCGACCTGACGTTAACTATCAGATACTTCTCAATTAACAAAGTTTTTATCTGCTACTATTTGAGTATATAATTCGTCTCAGCTTCCTTTTTGATGCCATTAACATGCACTCTTCATCCTTGGAATCCTTCGTTGCTGGTTTTCCAGCTATCGGTTCGCTGCAGCTTGTTCTTCACAAGCTCCAGTTCAGGCAAAGTGGCTCCTTCAGAGCTGCCAAAACACCATCGTCTTTTGCTCACAGCCCTGCAACTCTGTGTGCAGTACTTGCAGATGCCTATTGTCATATGACGGAACCTTCAATGGTCTGCTCTACTAGGCCCACAAACCTTGCTAGGGTATCAGAACCGTTTAGAAGGAAGCCCCTATTCACCAATTTGTATACCCTTCCCTCTAGCTGTGTTCAGAGCAGAGATATCTATGTCCTAATATTACACTGTTTATACAATTTTTCGAGAGAACGATATTCGCTGGAACTTTCACACATGAACCATAGTGATATACGATATACTGTATATTCCATATATGTCAAATGATTTAACTATGGATATTGCTCTTACATTTCGCATTCAGTAGTAACTTATGCCGCGACATTGCCAGAAAAATTGCTACGACTTAATTTTTTAGTCGTATTTTTTTACGTTACTTAGTGCAAATGGATTCTTACTAACGTATACCTATGTAACGACAACTCAGCATCATAATTCCACGCAGTGGAAATCCCGTCACTTTGTGTTGTCTAGTCCGAAAGCATTTTCAATACATTCATGATCTAACAAACGTATCCAGATATTCTGATTTAGATATGCAAAATTCAAGTCTATATCTATCTACAACAGTGTTGATGATATTTATATGTGGATTAGATAAAGAACCGTTCCAGGCTTTTATCAAGCTTTAAGCGAAGCGCCGCCACATGTCAGTTATCATAAAAAAAGTTAACAGTTGTCCAGTTTTATAGTTAATTTCATTGCGGAAACAACGCGTTCTTTCCGACCTACATTAAGTACGCGCTTGGTGTCATACAGGGTGCTAACCACGCGAGGTGGATACATCGATGAGATGGTCAATTTACCGCTAATGATTTAACGATTTCCGTTTCTCTTCAGTCTCTCGTATGTATACACAACGGATTTCTGTCCGTGTCCTGAACAAGCCTAGCTCTAAGCAATCAGTTACCTTTTCATATGTATAGCAGATGAACTGACGCCTCCAAAATTTTTCCACCCATGCTTACTTACACCTATTAAGGTAAATTTCCAATTTGTCTTATTTTCCGTTGCGAGATCAACAGTACAGCTTGAGATGAGAAATGTTATTTATTGCTATCTCCCGAAATACGTTTGTTGAATGTTAATATGACGCTGTTCTTTGAATTCTATACCGACAAACGGTTTATGTAACGATAGACGTAGCATTTATGCCTGGGTTCAAATTTGAATGTACAGACACCTCATTTCAATAAGGTAGCACAGTTTAATGGGTAAGCTCCGGAAGCGAAATTCGAAATACCTATCTTAATATAACAGTGAAGAGTTTTTAACCACTTTACGTTTAGAACACCACGTTCGGTCCACATACAATCAATCGGGACTGCTCCAACTTTGTTAGTATTAGTCAAGTAAACCAGAAAGCCTAACCTAACCTAACCAGAAAACATATGTCAATAAATATCCTGTCTTGCCTTCACTTGCGCTACATTCAATTATTCCGTATCAGAGTCTAGACTTGATGTACTTCTAGGGAGGCACTCCAAGAGACGCCCACGGCATAACTAAGCCGACATCAGTTCTCGCTGAAACCCGCGTAAAACAGGTCTAACTCATCGAGCGTCACCGATGTGCTATGCTTCTTTCCACCCCATTGGTCGTTGGCTATCCGGTCTGTTGCATTAAGAAGATATGGACCGACAATGTGTCTTTTGTCCGCGATAAGCGTATACGTCTTGTCATTAGTTGTCCCGTTCTTTCTGTAGAACACACCCACTAGTAGACTGAGTTACATAAAAATCGAGGTGGATGAGGGCAATATTAATATCTGTAAAATGTTCTTGGATACATTCGCGAATTATTTGTAACGTAAATGGTGACCACAAATGAAATTATTCTTATTAAACTCCTAATTCATAGTACCTCCTCTCCATATCTGTTTTCCGCGGTCTACTCCTGATTGATATAAGGGTTATAGAAGCGATAGTCGTCACTCTGCGGTTTTGCTCGCGTTCGCTTTTCATCTTGCTGCTTCAATAGAACGACATGATGTGGGCGTAGACGGCGCCGGTGCCTTCCATTCTGAATACGATCTTTTCGGTGCGTAGGAAGCTAACCATCTTCTAATAACATTAATGCTTCTTTTTCCTTCATTTAGCTTTCAAACCAAAGAGCGCCAAAATAACTTTTCTAGGCACGTCCTACATCAGGAAAAAACCTCAGACGAATAGTCGAAAAATAATTAGACCAACTTAGATGTTTTACAGAACGAAAACACCAACGGTTTTAGCATTCTGTAAAAGACTAAGCTGTGGCAGTCTCATATAGCTGTTCCTACCGTAGCACTGCTACCAGCTATGCGGTGTCAATTCAATATCAGCATGGCCTCCGTACGGCTACGTAGACCACGACCTGGCTCCACTACCCGTACTAACGGTTGCCTCAAGGGCCTGCCTTCCGTGACAGTTTGGCTCTTAACTGACCTACCCCTCTATACGTTCGGTGGAACGCGAGCTTTGACGCTATTTGTACGGAGCTATACCGCTGGCTGGACACTAGCAATACTTCTAGTCGATACAACTCCTTGGGTATTGACCGGTTTAGCAGCTGTTTATTAGTTGCACTATGACTGTAATAAAACATTGACTAAGGAGCTACTTTCTGTTTGAATAACACAGCATAAGCAAAGCTATCTGTTCTTTAAAACTAAGTACATATCATGGATATAGTCTCACATGGGAATCTAGAGCAGCCGTCATGTACTTTTCGTTTGTAACCAGCATATGTAGCGAACATAATGGCTGAAGCGAGTGATAACTCTTCTACGAATCGCGGTTTGTTTTGCTTCGGCGGTTGTCTGCAGTCCTTTTAACACCCCAGAAATCCTTGATACATAGTCGTTTGAAAAGAAAGTGGTCACATTCTCAGCTATAAGCAAGGCTAGACCAAGCAGAAATTGCTCAGGTTTCGGGATAGGTCGGAAGGCGCTCGATTAGGTTCGTAGAATAGTTTGTTACCCCAATCATTTTTCTTGTTTGCATTGTTGTGCGTCGTTCTCGCTCTGTTGTTAACACGCTATGGACTCTACGTCGTCATTGTCAAATTGACAATTTACCAAGTGTATCACAACTATTTATATATAAATGTCTAGCACATGCTGCGCTTGTCGTCCGACCTACTAAAGTCAATAGGTGTTATTATTTCTAGACTCCCAGTTAAAGGGGCCCAGTAGCTTTCATAAAGGGGCTATCTATAATTAGAACTAAATAACACACGGGAAGTCGCCAGGTGCTAAAAGCTAAGCAGTTAATACGTAAATGAGAGTGAATGCCTTATGATTTCTCAAATTTACGCTAATGCCACTTTTGCTGTCTATTTTTGCGTTTGTTTGTAGTTCGCTGGTAGTATACTAGGGACCGAGCGCATTTTATCCTTACACTGTTCAACATAGGATCGTTGGTAAGACAACTTAGTTAGGACCTTGAACCACTTCGTAAGTAAATGCTTTGAACTGTAAATGTCAACCGGAGGCATTTAAGACATGTTTTACTGATTAACCATCGTGTAATCGGTATCAAGTCATAGCTAACACACTGATCAGCATTCGCTCAGCAACTGGTGGGGTATTCACATTGCCGGGCGCTAAAAGTGTTCGTTCTGAGAAGAGCATCCGAAAATCATTCTAGATTTGTTCCCCGAAAATAATCTTTTAGAATTATTGTCGTCTTTACTTAATCTGTATTTCTTTACGACCATCGGAACCGAGATGAATATTCTTGACATAATATGAAGTTTACTTCTGTGCTGCTAGCAA